TCACAAGAGAATTTCAAAAGGTAAAAAATGCAATAACCTGGAATGGAGTCGTCGTCAGTTATGGGAGATACGAAAGGAACATCAAGAATGCAGAAGAAAACCTTAACAGATTATTCACAGTCACTGGTAAAAAAAATCGAGAGCATGAGCGCAAAAATTTTATTAGGAATTACGAAAATGATTTTAGCAATAGCCTTCAAAAGTTATATGATGTCACAGCGAAGAACGATCACGTGTTTTCCAAAAATATATTAGAAACAGTAACAGTGCAAACGAAATATCACAAACGTAAGATAGAGAAGTTCTCTCTTGGCTTGGTCCAACTTCTTATTCGAGGCATCAAGGTTAGTTTGTTTTAAGTTTTGCGAAAAGCCTTTACATTTTGCAAACGATATTAAGAAAAGCGGCTTAAACTTAAAATGTGCTCATTAAACACTTCAGCGGGAATGGTAGATTTCATGATTTTCAAAATTGAAATTTGATTCCTTTTTAAAATGTTAAACAAAGATGTTTTAAGCCTTAATGAAGTAGTATAAATACAAAAGAATGATGTAGAAACTTCATTTGAATTTGTAGACGATTCACAAACGGATTTAGATCAAATTTTTGAGAATAAGGATGGGAAAAAAAAAAAAAACACTGTCAGTCAAAAGAGTTTTCAAAACATTTTTACAATAAAAACACTGAAATGAACCATTAATTCGTTTATGTTGAACCACGAAAATGTTTTGCCTTCCTTACAAACTAGTTTAATGGATTCTGCATTTATAGTTGAATTATACATTCACGTCAATACGTTAGGAGCTTCAAATATGATTCTTTTCAAAAAAGACTTGTTAGCAATTGCCACCCTTTAGACACATGCAATGATATCTTCTTTTGTAACTTTGATTGATCAAAACTCAAAACACATAACACTTCCTTTAAAATCTTTTTTCTAGTAACTATATTTATTATGAAAGATATAAAATGGTATTTCTATTTTAAGAAAAAACTCTTTTAAAAAAATGTGGAAACGTTTAAAACTTTTTTGATAATTTTATAGGTTAAAGTTATGTATTAAAGATGAAAAACTTGTCTACTGCTCATGTTATAAAGGAATGGACAAGTAAAATGAAAACATTAAAATCTCATCTGGAAAAAAGAATTAACGTCTTAAAATCTACTTATCTCACTAACCTAAGTAAAGACGTCACTATTCTTATTAAAGATAACCAAAATCTTGGTAACAGAGCGTTGATGATAAAGATATACTATTATATTGCGGACAAGTACGACTGGCGTTATTGGTTTGTCGCTGTCTATGACGACATCTACGGCTATGACCGTCACACCATCTCGTTATGTGGTGGCAATTCATTTCTTCACAAACATAAAAAGAATATTATCATATCCAGTCAAGACAAAAAGACAGCAATCGCTTCAAGTTGAGTGATGCCAATAATGTTCTAAGCAATGTTGAAAATGATATCACGAAATGTCCAATTAGTAAACCTCGTGAACGTGCACGTGCCTTGGTCAAAAGAGCAAGAAGTAAAACAGGATCAAACTGTATACCATATGCATTAGTAATGGCTGTTGAGAGGTGGAAGGGATTATATTATATAAGCTGGAGTACACATCGGTCGTATCGTAGGATTAGCAAATTCCAAACATGTTGCCGCAAGGTTTGGTGGTATTTAAAGAAGTGTTCTGATACACAATGGAATCATAACATGATTTTGTTCGGCTGATTTTCTTTAGCTTTTTTTTTTGTGAGTTTTTTCTGATTTCATCGATGCTGACTGCACGATGAGCAAAACCTTTTTAAAGACACGTTTTATAGACACATAATATATCAGCAGATATATTATCTAGCACCAATCATTTCAGCTAATGATTATACAACGAATTTATATGTACCTTTTCAAACACGTTTTTCACAATAAAGATTTTTTTCACCAAAATCACAACATTTACTGTTTCAATCTGTTGCCATGAATTTCAGTTTACAACTTATGAGTTTGTTTTTAATTTAACCTCCCTTATGTATGGAAAATTGCTGACTTAATTGGTGCACATAAAAAAGCAGACCTTCAACAAAAAGAGTCAGCTCGAAAGATCAAACGATAAACGATTAAGAAAAGTTTGTTTACATAAAAAAGTTGAGGAAAATATAGTTCATTGATTTCCTTTGTTCATGCGATGTATTTTTTTTAAAGAGTCTAGTTTGTGTGTAGAAAACATTGCATGATATTTAAAAACAAAAATATTCTGTTATTCTTAAAGTTTAATAAAATAATAAAGAAATGCTGTTTGAATTAATCTTGTGTTAATATCATTGAACTTAAATAAATGAAAGGATAACTCAGTCGAAATTTTGACGCCAGTACAGCGCAGTATTTCCACCCAATATAAACATACGACCAATAGAAGCGAACGATAAAATAACTTGTACGGAATACGAAGCTCCAAAAACAAAACACAATTTTTTTGTCTCAATTTGGCAAAACAAAACTTTTCAAAGGAGACCTGACATCAAGTATACACATCTTTTCAGCAATTATATTTTGATAAAGGAAGCCAGAACCGACCAAAGTAGCGTAGCTTGCGGTCAAACCGGATGCTGAGCACGACTAAAAATTGCACAAAAAGTATTTCATTCCTTTTAGAGTCTTAGTAATTTCCGATGACTTATAGTTTCTCAGAAATTAATTTATTTACATATTACTATTTGGGACGAAGGCCAACTATTGAATTGCGCTTTGCGTCTTATTCTCGAATTTTAGTTGTACTACGTTTATCTTGCTGCCAGGCAACACTTGCTATTTGAACTTATGGTACGCTTACAAGCGCGACTTAGGCGTGCTTTAAAAACTCAGCATTACCAAGTAATATGTTTTATAATGAAAATTCTTGTTATCTGATTGGATAAGTGCATCTGAGCATGCTCAGACGCGACGTTTTACGTTTGCTTATGTTGATTTTGTATGCATGACTTTAAATATTTAATTTTCTTTGTTTGCAAAATTCGTGATATTAGTTCGTGTACTTTAAAACATTTCAAAATATTTTCTTTATAATCTATTATTTATTTCCATATAACTGCTGTCGAAGCAGATATCATCCGTTATTTGCTGTGAAAGCTTTTCTTTGCTTAAAATGTTGCGAGTAAAATCTCTTCGTAAACCGAAAGCCGATGTTGCAATTGCAATAAACATCGTGTGTTGGAAGCTTTTGGGCGATTTGATACACAAAGAAAATTTGGCCTAATATATGAGAAGTAACAAATTACAAATTTTCAAAGGTTTGAAATGACGATCATTAAAATTGACGACGAGGAAGTCCAGAAAAAAAATCTATGAAAATAGTCTTTTCACAATACTCTTGACAGGAAAAAATTGACTAAGGACATGCGCGTCATGACCCAAATTCACCACATGCCTATGGATGTCATTGGACATACTTTATTCCTTTTGTTTCTTCACGGTAAAGCCACAGTATAGGAATATACAGTAAGGTCATTTCGCTGTGCAACTGGCTGCTGTATAGTTAATGGTTACTGGCTGCCGTTTGCCATATCGTCAATTCTATTGGTCACACAATTCAATTTACTAGCTGCCAATGTGATAATCACATGCGTAATAAGATATGCGTGGTACAAAAAAATTCAAAGGAATAACTCTACTGTATGTTCTTTATACTGTGGTAAAGCACTCATTGCTTAGAGTGCGATGAGCAAGCTCTTGTCTTTAGAGTTCTACAATTGCTATGATGCCGTCGAAGGCATAATTTTAAAACACGTTGTAAACTAAAGTCTTATGTAATGAAAACAATAAATGCTGTTCTGCCGAAGCACTTGATATGTTGTCGTTGGCATCGCATCTCTTTCACTTAGTCGAGTTTTGCAGATGACAGTCTAGTGCTCACTTTTTCTCTGGTTCAAGATCGCTTCGTTTTGTCTAGTTTTTTAGAGTTCAATAATACGTAAATAACTAAAGGTAAATTAATGGCTAATTTAATTGCACTTTCTAAGGTTTAAGACCACCTTGTATATTTCTACTTCAAAGTTGAAAAAAAGAGGCAAATATATCAAGAAACTGTTAGTGTTCGTTGTTGAGCTTCTGGCTTAACAGGCTCTGTCTGACCTCCAATGCACGATGTCCTTGGTTCATCCCGGTGTAGTCATCAATTCGGGTGGTAGATTGAGGATTGAGTGCAAGGTTGAGGTTCATAGGGGATGTCGTTTTGCCCTCTGTTTCCTGACTCTTGAAAAATGACTTCCTTCGAGTCGTCATAGGAAAATTTGATCAAAAGACTTGTTTAGGGTATGGTTTTTGCAACAGATCTCTTTTCTTCTTTTTTCTTTGCGATATTTTTCTGATAATATACTAAGTTTCGCATTCCATTTTCGAAAAACCAACAATAGCATAGCCATTTGTTCACCTTTTGTACACTATTATCTACCCTTACTTTGCTCTTGATATTCACGGTACTCGTTCATTGCAAGTCATGTGCTTAACACACCAAGCACAACAGCAACTGACTGACCTTTGAAAGAATCGAACCTCTCATCACAACCTGAGAAACGTCACTCTACACACTCGAACAAGGAGTGCGTTGAAAACAGATGGAAAATTTTGTCTATTTACTACAGTAGATGCTTGTAGTACAATAAAAAAATATTTCGTAAAGTAACAATCAAGGAAACAACAAACCACAAATTTCTAGCATTAACTTTCCAACCATTGACATTTTCACAACAACACTAGAGATAAATCGAAAAGCATTTCGTTGTAGGGCACAATCATTTAGTGTTTGTCTGGTCCCATGACAGCAATACATTAATATAGTTTCTAACCATGGGATCTATTTTCTTGTGAGACAACGAAGAAAGCAGGTCTACATAATTTTGGTATCTGTGCAATATTTCACCATCGTTAGCAGGTACAGATTTTTATCAGCAGCTGTACAATACATGTTAAGAATACAATGTATCACTCACACCAAGACGCAGATAGTAACTGTTAATTTTCGACTTTATTACTAAGCCATTCGTCGAATAGACGTTGACCTGGTTTGAAATAACAAATTTTTTTACTTAATTGCATTGTAATCGATTGCACGATCACATTAATCGATTTGAAAAATTGATCAATTACATTGAAATGGATTACATAATTACATTATTTAATTTTTTCGTGCATTTCTTTTCTTCAAAACCAAGTTAAACTGTCTTCATTTTGTCGGTCCATACATCTAAAATGCAATACAGTCATGGCCTTTAATGCAAAAAATTTTTAAAGTGCCTTGCATGTAAGAACAATATTTTATAAAACGTAAAACCATACAAGAATAAATTTTAAAACTTCCACATGCAACTAACTTGTAAGCGTCGCTTTTTTAATTATGTTTCATCTTGTCTTATGTCTTAGAACTACAAAAACAGTCGCAAAATTATCGTTAGGTTAGAAGAGACGAAAACAATTTTCTCCATGACGCAAACATATAGACACGTGATCACATAGTAAAAAATAAACAAACCTTTTATTATTGGTCCTTACACATCAAATGGCGACTATATATAAGCTGAATTTTAACAGGACAGTGGGAATTTATTTATGTAAATCACAATGTAAAAACACGAACTGTTTGTAAAAGAATTTAGTAAAGCTTGACATTTTGTAATACGATAATTTATCTTTTTTACGATACTCTCTTTTGCTTTAAGATATCAGGCATTCAATAATAGACTTAAGGCTAAAGATAGATTAAACTTACGCTTTTTGAGAAAATTTTTTCCTTCGCTAGTCGTATAAAACACTTCATTGAAAATTAGTGATCATTCCTAACGTCATAAATGATGAATTTAAACAATTGCTAATTATTTTTCATAACAAATTTAAACTAAGCTTTCTTCCAAGGACTCCGTCATCTTCATTTGTTTATCTTCAAACATGTTGTACTTCTTCCGGATGTAGTTTAATTCCCTTCTCACTATCGTTTTTCCCGTTGTCCACATACGGAAATGTCCTCAATACCGGGGATTCAAAAATTTTATCAACGATGCCATACATCGTTAATGAGTGAAAAAACTCCTTTTCGTTATTCAAAATTTATTAAGCAATTAGTTTCTAAAAAAATTATTATTTTTTTTTTGAAAAATTTCATTGTAGAAGAAGGTGGAAATAAAGGTAGACATAAAGGTACACTAAAAGATAGACACAAAGGTAGACATAAAGGTAGACGTAAAAAAAAAGATAGACATAAAAATAGACATAAAGGTAGACATAAAGATAGACACAAAGGTAGACACAAAGGTAGACATAAACGTAGACAAAAAGGTAGACATAAAGGTAAACACCAAGGTAGACATAAAGGTAAACATTAAGATAGACATAAATATAGACATAAAGGTAGACATAAAGATAAACACAAAGGTAGACATAACGGTAGACATAAAGATAAACATAAAGATAGACATAAAAATAGACATTAAGGTAGACATAAAGATAGACACAAAGGTAGACAAAAACGTAGACACAAAAAGGTAGACAAAAACGTAGACACAAAGGTAGATATAAAGGTAGACACAAAGGTAGAGATAAAGGTAGACACAAAGGTAGACATAAAGGTGGACATAAAGATAAACACAAAGGTAGACATAAAGGTAGACACAAAGATAAACACAAAGGTAAACACAAAGGTAGACATAAAGGTAGACACAAAGATAAACACAAAGATAAACACAAAGGTAGACATAAAGGTAGACACAAAGATAGACATAAAGGTAGACACGAAGATAGACATAAAGGTGAAAGTAGACAAAGGTACACCTAATTCATCTCTATATAATTATATGTACCAAAAACCGAATTAATGACAACATTTCGCCAGTGCTCAAATCATTGACCAAATAATTTTCAGAATGCTCTTGACAATATGTACAAAGACGCGCTTAAACTATTAGCCGAAAAGACTGACTCAATGAAAAAACATCGCCAGTGAATTTTTTACAACAAACAAAGTAGCATATTTATGTATGATGTAGTGCATAAACTATCAAATTATTCTACCACGAAAAATGAAACAGCCAATAAGTCGAAAACTAAAAAGGTTACTCGAAAGTTTGACTTGATTTTCAAAGATCGTGTTAAATAAGTTTGAAAATTATTCACTTTTGCATTTGCTGTTTGGCTATACAATTATTTTTATTGTAAACAAAAAAAACGGCTCGAAAGAATTCAAAAATATTCATGTATCTTTAGCTTGCATTTTTCATAAGAAATGAATCCGAATGATATTACCATTTGAAATACGCGTCTATATTCAACACCACGCTTCTTAGCTCGTCTGCAATATGTGGAAAAATTGTTCCGTTTTTTCAAAATTAAACTGCTTGTTGCCAAGCTTCGACTAGTCATCAAATTTTCAAATCATAACAGGTGGAGATAAAAAACATGCCCAGAAGTTTTTTTTCAGCATTGGAGATCTGCATGTAGCCAAGTCCCTCAACTCCAACGCTACTTATTCAGATTTCCATCTAACGCCTAAAAATTTAAAAATACCAATCAAAACCATCTTTGAGATCAAAGTAGGAACGAACAAATGCAGTACTACCTGTTTCATCGTGTTCCCCATTTGGGCAGGTGAGTTCGTAACAATCACACCAGCGTTTTTCAAGCTTGCAATCTAAACGAGCAACGAAATCAGTTCGCACTGGCATTCAGCTCATAATGACGTAATGTATTTACAGTTAGTCAGCTGGATGATCGCAATCTAAAGCTTTTCAGTGGTGATTCCAGTTTTCACATGTATTTACCAAGCGATAGAAATCTAGAGAACATCACTTTAGAAGATAAAAAGTGCTCAAAATCCACAACTATTATAGCGCAATATACTTATGTTTATGTCATGTAAAAAATCTAGTTGATGTAAGAAATTGCTTTGAACTATATTGGTTCATGTCGGTAATGATAAAGGTCATGGATTTAGGCTTGTTTGTGTCTTGTCTTATTTGAAGACACGGAATTTCTTGAGTTGTTTGTGACGAATAACAACAACTTATTTTATATACTACAGAATTTCAAACGACATGTTCCTGTATTTATTACATCATGTTCTGGAACAATAAAAGCTACATATACGTTAGCTATATTCATTTTCACACAATTTTCACTCAATGGCAAATACTAATCTCTTTCCAATCGTATTTGGTATGTCAAACCTTGGCTTGAAAAGAGCCTCTATACTACGAAGCATCGACTTTATGTATTTATGTAATCAGTGTATATCAGTGCACGAGACAGTTGTCTTCATGTCTTCAATTTTCTCCAACAAATCATTTGCATTAAAGTGTAAAAGTGAGTCAAGAAGTGTTTCTTGTATTTTCAAACGCTTTGCTGCTGACGTTCTTTTAATTTTGTTGATATATTAACTGCCTGATGTTTTTCTTTCGATGAAGTAACATACTATACGCGGGCATTGTACATTCATCATTCCGTCAAGCCCCGGGCACGAATTCGAAAGTATAAGTTTCTAGACTTTCATCTTCTTATTTACAAAAACATCCGGGATGTATAAAATACCTTATTCTCGGCTCCACCCTTACCACCAGAAATAATAGCACCAGCATGACCTATATAGAATATGAAGATTTGTGTTTAAACTAAGCGTTGTTGTTAGTGTACGTATGTATGACAAATAACACGCAGAGCGATAAAATTGGAAATCGGGATTGCAGCAAGTGGCAACATGAACATTGTGTTGAGAGGCTTTTAGGCGGTAACCAGGGGCCCCGCAAAAGCTTGATCAGCCGCTGACAGTTGATAGTAGCAGCCTGCATTGTACTAATTTTTATCATAAATGTACTTTGATATTTTTCCTGAACGAGTCTATCTCAGTGTCGCTTCATTAGTCTCTATTGCTCCAGAAATGCTTCCGGTTGCGCAGCCCAACTTCAATAAACATTTACAAAGAAAACAGTTCTTGATGTGGTGTTTTTATTCTTTGCATTGTTTTGTAATTATTCATTTTCACACGATTGCAATTGTGGAAATCTTTGCTTATTTTCTTTGCTTATCTTTGTAAGCAACTGCCGACATGCTTTTCTGAATGCGAAAAGAAGCTTATTCAGCTTTCACCGTTTTTCTGACAAACAGGTTGCAGTATTTACAGTGAAGTTACATATTTCCACAGTGCCATTATACTTTTTTGTCACAGTCAAACAACGGACTCATATAGCTAGACTTTCCAGTTCTTTACGAATGTTGAATGATTATATTCTTTGCGAGCACATGAAAGTCAAACAGCTATGACATATTTCAACAATTAGATATATTATATTCGACCTTACCCATAAGTCTACCAGGAGGAGCAGTTAGTATATTATATTAAATCTTACCCATACGTCTATCAAGAGGAGCAGTTAGTATATCATATTCCACCTTACCCATACGTCTACCAGGAGGAGCAGTTAGGCCAGCAATAAACGAAACAACTGGCTTTGCATTTTCTCCTTGATTATGCTCCAGCAGAAATTCTGCAGCTTTTTCCTCAGCGCCACCACCAATTTCACCAATCAAAATAATACCTAAGAATGGACAATGGATTAGCATAACACTCTCTTCTCATGACACATTGGCACAACACTCTCTTCTCATGACACATTAACACAACACTCTCTTCTCATGACACATTGGCACAACACTCTCTTCTCACGACACATTAACACAACACTCTCTTCTCATGCCACATTAACACAACACTCTCTTCTCATGACACATTAACACAACACTCTTTTCTCATGACACATTGACACAACACTCTCTTCTCACGACACATTAACACAACACTCTCTTCTCATGACACATTAACACAACACTCTTGTCATGACACATTAACACAACACTCTCTTCTCATGACACATTAACACAACACACTCTTCTCATGATACATTAACACAACACTCTTCTCATGACACATTGACTCAACAAAGCCATAAGGTCGAATCTAATTTGTATAGGATATATTTATAAATACCTTCAGTTTCAGGATCTTTAAGAAATATATCCAAACAATCCATGAAGTTTGTACCATTGAAAGGATCACCACCAATACCTGGTGAACGAAATTGAATTTGTGAAAACGAACCCCATTGTTGGAGTTGAAAAACAAAAAAATGTACTGCGAAAAACTTGCGTTGTTTTCACCAGTGACACTTTGATATAATTATTTTTCAACTAATTTTTTTTCGAAATTTCATTTCAAAAGCAACTTCGTTATTGATCATGCAGCCAGGCAAGATTTAAAAATTAAACACGAAACAATAAAATGTGTTTGAAAATCACGCCTGCTGCTCCTAAACAAACAACTTCTCCTTCCATTTAAAAAGAGTCCAATCAGGTGACCCGGGGAAATTTGCCCAGCCGTGACATCCAAACCCGGGGTAAATTTCCTTGGAATTCACACTCCCCTGAAAAAGGACGGGGATTTTTCAGTGTGTTTATCACGACATAACATTACTCCAATCTGAACTATCTCTTTTGAACATTGTGGAAAGTTCTGAGCATGTTCTCCAGAGGAATGAATTATGCCTCGGTCATGAGCAACCACTTCTAGGAAATCAACGATGTTCCTCTTTTTTTGTCATCAAATTTTGAAATGTGATCAATACGAAAGATAATTTTATAATTTTAATTTCGTGCAAATGTGATATTTTTGCTTTTCACGAACGAGAAAGGAAAGACTGGTTAAAATTTGTACAACACTTTGTTTGCTGATGCGACGTAGGAAAAAACAGTTCAACATCAGTTTATAATCAAAACTATATTGCTTTTAAATTTTCATTACATGGTGTAGCTAAAACTTTTATTTTATCTGAAAGGGATAAACGACACGAAAGATTTTCTTCCAACACAAGTTTTAGAGCCGGTAAAACGGCATTGTAAAAATGGGTAGCGTCAGAGAGAAGGACATATTGGGATTGTCAGTGCTTCCACTTAGATTTAAGACCTAATTTACAAGAATGCTTACAGTTATATTTCATTTGATTAAGTAAAACCAAAGATGTAGAAATGTAATAAAATGTGAAATTAAGAATATCACACTATTCACTTGTCTGGCAAAATGATAATCCATTCCATATAATGATAATCCATTAAATTCATATAATTTCTCTATGGTAAAATGAGCATTGTTTCATTAACAAGATTGCCTCACCTATACACAGCGACTGTCCAAGTCCGGCGCACGTCGTTTGATGAACGGCTTCATATGTTAATGTTCCCGATCTTGAAACTATACCTGTTGCACACAACACAAGAAAAACGAGAGTAAACAATGGCCCCTGAAGCTGATACTCTTATAAAGAGTAGCAAAATGAAATGGATACATAGATTTGGTAATAAAAACATGGCCGCCGAGAGTAACGAACATGGAGGAGGAGCAGGGGGCATCTAAAATCAAACAACGGTCCTCAATGCAATAGTCCCTAAAAATTGGGGAGCTCGATGCACGAGACCATTGCCAATGGGAAAAGTTCGGAGAAAAGAAATTTCAAATCATGACGTCATTCCCCACAGCATTTCACTCATTGTAAATGGAAATCACTTATAAAATACGTGATGTAAAACAGAGACTTTGTCGTGGCGACAAATTTAAAATTGTCTTAAAAAGACTGAATGGTCAAATACTTCTTAAAAGAACTGTTTAAGCCAGAACAAAAACCAACAATTCTAAAAGAACTGTATTTAAAGCCAAAGGTGTGAACGTTTATTTAAATGAGAGCTTCAGAATCATGCAATATTTATAATATTACCAAAGTCGACGTCATCTCTATAAATTGAGAGATGACGTTTAAAACAGAGATAAATGAAACACGTAATCTTTTCGCCAACAGGATGCATATGTATAATACAAGAGAAAAAGAGATAAATTTCTCATTATATTTGGTTTCAAATGCAGTTGGCTTGTATAAAGTTCGATGCTTGAAACAGGCCTTGATCAAGTTTTAGGATTCTGCTTAAGAAAAGAATTACAAGACGATTGTCGTTATAAAACAAGAACAATACAACACGTGCGCTGATTGGTCAATATAGCTGAGTTTGTATTAGCCTATGCAAACCGATTTGAACTCAATGAATAAAATCAATTAATGAGAATTTGCCAGTCAATCATGAATATATGATAGAGGAAAATTTAAACGCTTATTGCTTTGAATTTATCTGTTTCGCATTATTGCTGTTTTATAAAAGATATTTTTCGTGATTGCACTGGCTAATGCAAACATCGAAGACGTTTGTGCGAACTCTTGACCGTCGGTCTCCGGCTTACACTGATCAGCTCTCGAGTTCTCCCAAAGGTCTCCTCGGTTCGCAAAAGCCTGTACAAACACAGTAAACATCTTTTATTTCTTAACTAAAAGACGTTACCTGGAGGCACAATCACGCAAGAACTGTTTCATGCCTGCTAAAAACTGTAATATATACATACCTATTGAACCTTTCTGATGAATATGACCAGGCATGATTCCGATTTTACATTCGCCTGGCTTGAAATTAAAAATGTCGATACTGAAATAAGTATGGGAACAACGATTTTCTAGTAAGTGTGGTGTATACTTACCTGTAATAAAAGAAATAAAACAGACACTTTGTGTGTTGTGGTGAAAACCTAAATACTGCCTTCAAAAAGCGCAATTGCCGTGGTGAATAGCGAAATGATATTAATCCTGAAACGGTTTTATACGCACATGAAAAACATGTGACTTGGACGAGATTTGAGCTCGCATCTTCGGAATACTAGCCCGCTGCACGACCTGTTGATCTACCAAGCCCACAGGGATTGAAGACGAGTCAAATCTGGTCGAATGGCGAAAAATTATAGGGTTTCCAAAACTCTTTGACTCTATAACTCTATAACTCCAAAACTAATTCCAAAACTTGAAAAATAAAACTCCAAAAACTCTGAAACTCTAAAATTCCAAAACTCTATAATTTTTGGTTATTTATGCCATATTTTCTAAGGAACTCTGTATTTCTTGGCCATCCGACATGGCGATTGCGCTTTTCAAAGAATGAATGAGGAAAACACTCAAGAGGCAAGAAGGAAAGTATTTTCACCAGAGCAGAGAAATTACTTATAGGTGGAGTACTCTTCGGTGGTTCATGAGTTTATGGGATCTGGGAACTAGAAAGTCCTTAACATCAAAGAGAATCGAGCTTTGTACTAAAACACAAATGACTGAGATTTTTTGAAATTTTTTCGTCCGACAACGAGCGCACTGTTTTAGAAAGACAGAAACATTTAATTCAATCAGACACAACTGAACAAATGAACAAACACCCACCCAAATAAAAGAGGACAGTACTCCCCCCAACGTCTAGACAAAAAGGTTGGGTTTAGTAATTACAATATAAAAAATACCTTAATGATTCCAGGACAATTTGGCCCAATAAGACGACTTTTGTTCTGTCTAACAAGTCGATGCTTTACCTAAACGAACGTGTTAACCGTTAATTTAGACATATTAACCAGCATGATCATAAACCAGGGGCCGGGGTTAAAGGGGACCCCTTAAAAAGAAAAAACAACATGACAGACATTGTTGTAGTTCAACATATACAATCAAAGTATACACTTGTAATAAAGAACTTGAATAAAGTTGGCATTAAAATGATTATTAATCTGACAACAACAAGAATTTTAGTCATTAGAGACTTTAAGCTTGGCATTAACGGCAAACCGCAAAATTCAGGTGATCATGGCTTTGCAGCTTACGTTGCGGTTTGTGGTTCAGGTTGTAACAGCAAGAGGAACTTCTTGCCGTATGTTATCTACGGCAAGCCTTTTAGTACTTTTAATACAATGTAAATTTGTATTAGGTCTATGGCTCAATGTTATATTTTTATGTAAGTACAAAATACGAATATGCTATCGACAAACTTTTATCAAAACATGAAATTTAGCTCAGGACAATGGGAATTGTAAAATACAAATGCAAAACGGTAAGCGGGTAGTCAAATGTGTACATCTTGTGCATTAAAATATTGTAGTCAAACACTCTCCTACCCAAAGTGCTTTCGGATGGATATTGTAAAATTTGTTGATCATTCTGTACATGTATTGATATTAATTTACCTTAACCATATCATGCTGTGGAATTCCTTCAGTAATTGCTACAATTAAACCTATCTCAGCATCCATTGCTTCCATAATGGCATCTTTTGCAAACTTGGGTGGAACAAATATCACTGTCGCGTCACAATCTGTTTCTTGTTTTGCCTATAAATGTGGCACAACCATACATTAAGTTAGCGAGAAAACTAACAATGTTCAATTTGTACATGGTATTGGCTAAAATATAAATATAGCACATCATTTCTTCAGACAAAAGGAAATGTCATGCAGTGCCAATATCCCTCTAGGAAATAATCTATTTAGATAGAGTTGACCATTTTAAGAACATTTGCTATATATCTTATAAGACGAAAATTTGATCTTCCTTGACTTTTTGTGCCTCCTATATCGAGCACTTCATTTTTGAGTTAACATCAAAAACTACAGCGTTAAAAGCAGCGTGTTCTCCAATGTAGCTACTTCACGTCAGGTGAACTAGACCCAGTCACAGCACCTCACGGTCAAACACAAAAAAAGCGAACATTGAGGCCCAAAATCTTATGAAATATATTGAAAATATTATTAAATCGTCAACTCTATTTAAATTGATTATTTCCCTGAAGGTGATATATGCACTTTAATAGCATGCAAACTGGGTTATTTGTAATAGGATATCAATATGTTTTATAATACGGTTAAAACATCAACAAAAATATGCAAACCAATGAAAGTTGACACAAAGTTGTAATGCACTACATGGTATGATAAATGCACATTTGAATTATTACTTTATTGTTGATTGATATTCAGCTTAAAAGCAGAATCTTGGATGTCAATGTTTGGAGGTCGGCGCCGTTTGTGGTCAGCAGTTCATGGATGATAGTTACGCTGAGCTATGTATATACGTGTACTAAGGCTATGCAATGAACACAGGCTAACAGATATGACCACAGGCAAAGTGGGAATCACTCTAGAAGCACTAATATGGAGTACGCGATGACACTTCGTCATGCAATTCCTCCGGCACATGTCACGCTGATCCGAATGAACAGCGGAGTATATGAAGAACCGTTGATTAAAGAAATTAATTAGAAAGCAAAATGAATCAAATACAAACAATAAAAAAATCACACGCCACAAAGCCGCATGCAGAGCAATTATGATATTTGCTAGCTGGGACGTGGAATGCACCCAATAAGCTAAAGGCAGCCAACGCTGAAGGCAGCACGGCAGTGATGCTAATAAAATAGTTTGAATTACGTCATACAACGCCAGTATGCTAGTTCCCCCGGAAGTCAAGCAAATCAATACATCCAACGTTAACTTAGCTTAACTCAATTAAGCCCATTTAATGGAGTATATGTTTTAATATCAATTTGATTGTGACATCGAAAAACATGCACATCATTTTTTCTCAACTAATTCACACGTCGCCTTGAGTACGACATACGTAATAGGCATGGACAGATTTTCTCGGTGGGTATAGGGGTCCCCGAATATCAGATTTCACGCCGACAAATTAAATTATTCACCCCTCTAAAAACAATTTACTCCCCCCCAATTTCTAGCAAAACAAATCAGAGGTATATTAAACTGAGTTTTTCTGGGCCACTACCCAACCACCCCAAAAACCTATACATTTACTTTCTCTTGCTTCACTTCCTTACCAGCTCACCCCCCCCACAACAATTTTTGTACCACCCCTGTGAAAAAATACGAAAATATGCACATGATAATCAGTAGGCTGATAAAAGAAGATAGATCTACGTATATGAACTCACACCTCAGCAACTGAATTAAAAACAGGTAATCCCAAATGTTCCTGTCCACCTTTACCAGGAGATACTCCTCCAACCATATGGCTACCATATTCAATGGAATGCTCACTGTGAAAAGTTCCCTACCAAAAAAACACATGCTAAATTGATTTGTTCAACTTGTTTATAGTTTATAGAATTGTACACGCTCTACAAAATTAAATTAATTGAGAGATTGGCCATGGACATCGTGACATCCATGGTTAGTGGAAACTATCACTGCAAAACTATAAAATCAAGGAATTGAGCAACCATCTTTCTTTGCTATTATATGGCAACAAGTAGGTTGGCAGTTTACTTTGTGTATAGACCGAAATCTGTTCCAAAAATTGTCTAACTGATTAACATTTGTATGGAATATGCTTGAATGGTGGATTTGGTAATTGAGATTTGACACATTATTGTGGCTAATTGTATTATGGTAGAAAAGGATGATGGAAAATCAAAAAGGAAGATGGAAATACCAGGTCACTGAATCCTGTCAGTGAATTGAATAAATGATGCCTTAATTTTCATGCCTAACATTCGATATGTTTTCCTCTATACTAGCTCTATACTAGCTACGTAGGCACATCTCCTCACAATCGCAAGACATGTCTTAGTCAAGGACAGTGAGTGGAAAGAACAAAGAAAATGGTTTGGTATAATTGTATGCAGGGTGAAACAAGAATGTTAATTGGGGGGGGGATATATATTCATATATTCAGCTCTGCCCTGCTGACTTCTTTTGTCTGCGATGTCAATTTCAAAAGAAATCAGCAGGGCAGAGCTGAATATATGAAAATATACCCCCCCCCAATTAACCTTCTAGTTTCGCCCCTGATTGTATGCCATAGTTTTGTACACTCCTACAGTTTGATACTCTAAATATAATAAAACTATTTAATCATTAACATTCAGACAACTCTTACTTGCTTTCCGGTAAAGCCTTGGCAAATAATTTTTGTGTCCTTGTTGATGGACAAATTTTTTCTTGTTTCTGTGTAACAGAAACGAACCCCAACCTTTTGAATAGCTGTAAAAGCATAGGACAAAATGGTAGGTGACTGGTGAAGTATTATAATTTTCTGTTGAACACTTTTACTTCAAACATCAATTTTCTTAAAAATGTATGTATGTAATATTAATGTCATGTGAAAATCATTATGTCAAATTAATGCAACAGGGTTTGTGGCAGATTGATAATTGTCGAGTGGGAGTTATAATCCTTAGTCAGAATTGATTTCAATAGAAACTAATAAAGCAGAAATGGATATATGAATATTAGCCCTAGCTTTACCCAATTATTGCAACTGTCCCTGGGCAACACAATGAAATAAGAAAAAACCTTTAGGACAGTAACAAAGCTATTAAGTTATAAGCTATTTGACAGAAAATTCGAGTCTGGAAAATACATCACTTTTTGACAAGATGGTGAGTGTATTGATGCTGGCTTTGTAAATTATTCAATAAAACAAATGAAACAGGTTTTATCAAATATTTTACAGCAGCTCCATGCCCATTATAAAACAACAATAATGAAATGCATGTGCCAGTTGGTCTATAGCTGAGTATGCGTTAGTCATGGAAAATCGGTCAATTAATTTAATTTAAGAGAATTTGCAAACAAATCATCAAGACATGTTATAGGAAAAATTACAAAATTATAATGTTTTAATTTTATCTGTTTTGCATTTTATGAAAGAAAGAAAAGATGTTTTTCGTGTTTGCACTGGCTTATGGCATCCTCAGAAACATCTGTGAGAACTCACATGCAGGTGCAAACTTTCAACCTTTGGTCTAATGGTCTTCTGTTTCCGTTGATCTGCTCATGAAACATCTCTTTGGCTTGCATAAGCCAATGCAAGCACAGTAAACATCTTTTATTTCTTTATAAGACCAACTTTAACGAATGTTATACTTATAATGACTGCAGCTCAATTAAAAGAAGTATGAACTGAAGATGTGCAATGGTATATGAAAAATCTCCAATGAGCAAATTAAAGGCTTACTTTCCGGAGTAGAGACAGTTATAAATTTATCAATATAAATGAGAGCAAAATGTTTCTATTCTAATGTAAATCTTTGAAGAACTTAAGAAATATCTGAATTTTCTCAAAAAACCATTTAAACAAACATTCCCCAAGTCTCGTCAGACAGATACTATATAGAATAACCAACCATCTTGCTATCACTTGTATCCCACAGGCAGCATAAAGAACTAAAACTGTCAACCCACAAATTACACAATCACAATCTTTTGCTTGTACAACTTACCTTGTCTTCCACAACGTAAAAACGCCATATTGGATTGAAACTTCAAAGGAAGAAACGGCGGCAAAATAGGGCGACCGTTTCCGAAAATGGTTTTTCGACTTCCGACGATTTTTGCGTGTCTCGGGCATTGGTTTCGTGGAATTCGCGTGAAAAAATTATATGGCTTAATGGCATAATGGCATACGAAAATAAAGAAAGAAAGAACATTCAAAATTCTGAAAAAAAGATCACGCAGCATGTACTTTCTCGAGGAACTATGGTGTCAAGAATGATAAATCCAGAACTATTTATTCGTCCAGTAAGCGCATTGTTTTGTTGACTCAAAATTGTTCAGTTTTGTCTGTTTTGTGTCTATTTTTTTCTGTCTGTATTCCAAAGCCCTCGTCAGAAAATCAGAACATCAACTTGCTGGCTTAAGTTCTTATTTAATATGTCATAAAACTAACGCATCTGTCGTTTTAGAACAAATTTGTAATGGGAATTGGTGTGCTTATGCTAACAGGAAGTATCATTTACTTAGCATATGCCAATTCTGATCAAAAGCATGGACCATCAAGAACAAAGCAGAAGACAAGCAGGCAAATAAAATCCAAATGGGACTAACGATTTACAGCTCCGAAGACAGTATTAAGTTCTTAAAATTTGAATTTGGTATAGCATTTATTACAGAAAAACAAACTAAAAACTGAGGATTTTTAATTTTTGTTTAAGCACAAACACAAATACCAAAGGCGATTGCAAATGTTTCTTTTTCAATGTTTATCAATCTCTTGACAAATATATATGGCATATTTTCTAAGTGTTAACAATACGAAAAACACCCATTCCATGCCAATTCTTCACTCAAACCCTTAAGAACTAGTATCTCCTTGTTCCCTTTGATAAAGAAATCTTCATGCATGTAATTGCTTAACAGCAGAAATAACCAGGGGCTGATCCAGAAACCACAGTGTGTACCATTCCTGAAATAGGACACCCATTCTTTATGCCATTTTTCAATATATTTTATACCGAAATCTGTTTGTTATCACTACTATTGCAGATGACACATATGAGAGCAAGCCAACACGATTTGCAAAAGAAACCTGAATCTAAACTGTTACTATATGAAGTAATTGTTAATTACTATGTTCCCCTCTACACCAAAGTATAGTTATAATAGTTAAAGAAGCTTGTCCTATTTCAGGCACCATATGTGCACATTAACAAGGGTACAAGTGCCGCATAGCCTCAGCTTTTGTAAAATATGTTTGAAATTTTGGTTCACTAACTGAGAAAAGGATTAAGAAAGTTGGTCAGGCTGAAATATAGGCCTTCTGAAATAAAAATGAAATCAATGCAAATAAAATCAAATGAAAAAGAAATAAAGTGTTGATCCCAGAATGTAGCACCCTTTAATCATTATACGTTGAGGTGTCGGGCCCAGCCACAATTATCCATTGCTCCCTTATAGACACTCACTCTATAGTGCTATCGATGAAACCAAAGAAGACATGCTTGAAAAATCATAAATTTTTCAAATAAGTCTCACTGCATAGAAATTAGTAGTGGTGGGTCTTTCATCTTAGATGAATATTTTAGCCACCACATGGAAGCAAATTCAAAGTTCATTGCTCTGGAGAAACCTGACGTTGTTACAACAAGAGAAACAGTTATGCTGAAATCACCTCGATACATTGACATTTTAGCCCTTTTTTCTCACACAATTTTAGTGAAACTCAAGCTATCTCTATGTAATATTGGTCTTTCTCAGTTATCATATAGCACAAGCAATGACAGGGCTTCAAATAGAAAGCTTTGATTCGTATTATTTGCTAAATGCAACTCAAAGTGTTAAGCAAATAAATATACAAGGTAATATGCACAAGATTGGCAGTTTAAGATTAAAAATGGCAGGCAAAAGTTAACTTGGCAGAAAAAATGAAAATGCTTGGTCATATTTTTTATTTTGAGCCTTGTTTACTGAAGTTGGCATGCAACAGTATTTACAAGAGTAGCAAAACTTTGCAACATATCAATAGGTAATAGTTAAAGACTGCCATTATGGACTATTTACATGGCTTGATATAAACTGTCAACCAGACTGGAAAGTTTGTAGTGCACACATGCATAATAGACTTTTATATAATGCACGCACATTTCAAATGTTGTGTGTACATTTTAAGAACTTTCCAGCCTTGACCGTCAGTGTCAATTAAATAGCCCGGATGAACTTTCCTTGTTAATCAATTTAATGAATGTAAGAATGTTTACTGAGAACCACAAGTTTTCTTGACAACGTCCGCGAAAGTCAAGAATATCTGAAGTATATTATTTTAACATCACAATATTGAATGTAGTGTTTGCAAGTTACATTTTACAAAATATATGGATACCGCTCGGTGATTTTAATGAGATAAATACTTCCTTTCTTTCTCTTTGCGACGCTTTAAGATTCTTCTTCCAGCTTTACTGCTCTTCCTTGAAAGAAAACCATGTTTTCGCTTCCTTTGCAAATTATTTGCTCTGTATTCGTTGCCATATTGCACATGACGAGCAAAAAACAAAGATGGCGATGAGCAGAACATTGGTTTGAAATAATCAGTCAAGTTTGCCACAAAATTTAAATTAAGCGTACCAGAACGTCTAAAGACTGCTAAACTTTGGTAGATCCAACTCATTGTTTGAAAATGTACAATTTCTTGGCTTCTCCTTGCAGTATTTCACATAGTCTTTCACAATTTTACTGACATGCAGAATTAACGTACGAGCCTACACATTCACGATTTGATGTCAGCGGTAATTCATAGAAAGTTGACGTCCTAAAAAACTGCGCTACTACACTTTCCCCATTATAATATACACTGATACACTTGCAATATTGCATGAATGGAAAAACATGGAAAAATTAAAAAATGACTTTACATCATGTCAGCAAGCAAGGACGTAGTCATGAAGTCCATTAGTTACAGGAACATCATCACCCTGGTTGGTTAATTGCCTTTCTTTTGGCCGACGACGACACTTCAATCATGTCATACGCAGTTACAATCTTTAATATATATGCATGGTTATGCATGTCGAACATGACCCCTTGTGACATATGGGAAATAGAGTCCCTTGCATTAGATAAAAACTCACGCTGTCTACGCTCTCGTGGAGATTCAAATCACATAGAACACACGTGATCACAGAAACCATGACCAGTCGACAATTTAAAGAAATATAGTATAAAGCAAATTCCGAAAAAGCAAGACATCTTGAGACTGCAAAATATGCATCAAAACAAGACGAGAAGTGAACTGCAAATTTTTGACTTTATTTCAAAGTCATCCTCAGACAGAATGATATTTAAAACCATACATACACATATATTTACGACGCATGAAATAAGTAAACTTACTTCCGTTTACTTACTTCCGCTTACTTATTTCATGTAAAGATATATGTGTATGTATGGTTTTAAATATCATTCTGTCTGCTGATAACTTTAAAATAAAGTCGAAAATTTACAGTTCACTTCTCGTCTTGTTTTGATGCATATTTTGCAATCTCAAGATGTCTTGCTTTTTCGCTATTTGCTTGACACATGATCACGTTCAAACCTTTATTTATGGGCTTTCTCCTCAACATTGCCCTATACTTCATGACAAATTCTTTATTTGCAGCTTTTAGAATCTACCAAAAGCGCTATCGACGTCAAAATAGACACTGATTTGAGCGTGAGGGGAAAGGGGGTCAGTTTGCAAGTGGATTTTTTGGGAAGTCAAATATAAAGTATTTTTACTTTGTTAAATTATTTTAATTACAGAACTACATTATTTGAAATCAGGAAATGATGCTAAACCTTGAATACACTGCTGCAATATTGAGAGGACCTTTCAATTAAGTTTTCCCAATATAATCGCAATAACACCTACGTCTAGTTTCAAGAATAATACAATCTAAGATCAAGGACGAAGCTAGAGGGGAGGTGGGGATGAATATTCATACATTCAGCTCGACTTGACTGATTTGGTTTGTTAGCGATTATAATTTCAAAAAGAAATCAACAGTACAGAGCTGAATATATGAATATTCATCCCCCCCATATAACCTTATAGTTTAGTTTCGCCCCTTTCCAAGATACAATAAATATAACCATTAATGTTACCGCACGGGGCGATTCAAAAATTGTTTCCCTCCAAAAATAATCAAGTATTTAACTGACATAACGCATAGTTTTATGGAGTATTTTGTTTGTTTCATACTTTATAGTTGTGTAAATTTTTAACGCCATTTAACTCTCTGGTTTCAATTTCGAATGGTGCATTAGTTAAGAACATTGGCGATATTTTTTACTGAAAAGTGATCAAATATTCAGGATAATACTGACTATCATGAAACAGAACAAAAATTGTGGGAGCATTGACGTCATTGACGGTGGAATCATAAAACTCATTTACGCTTTTTGCAGGTGGAACAATCATACTGGAGCCACTGAGGTATATTCACCAACGGCTACTCTCGCGTAGTACATATATCTCATTCCAGATGCATTCGCCCTAGCATAACCAACTGACATGGCGGCATCCCTTGCGAAGTATACACCTTTCCCAAATGCAATTCCTGGGTATTTTAAAACAAAATTAGAATTTGGTTAATTAAATAAAGTTTGAACAAATTTCAATAATGATTTAGAGCTGATGGTGTTGACATTACATAACGAGCACAAACAGACTGCACATGCAGACAGAATAAATAGGTTGGAAACACATCTTGAATTTCAAAATGTGTCCTCATTATCGCTGCATAACACCAAGAAAGAAAGACGATGTACATACCATTTGCATTTCCAGCATAAGAGCGGTTCAGTCCTGATTTGTTGATGGTGTTAACCTTGTCAGCATGTGTACCATGAAACAAAAACTTTTCATTGCTTCCACTCTTCTCATCCAAGCTTTTCTTCTTAAGGAAATACTGCTTGAATAGTGTAGGATTTTGAACACGTTGAATTTCTATGATATTCTGCCGCATAGCCGTTTGTTGAAAATGACTCGATATTTTATCGTATTCGACTTTTTGCTTTGGATCATTTTGCGTCAACTTTACCAGATGAACTTCTACTTCCTTGTTATTAGCGTCAACTGGCTGCGGATCCCAATAATCAGGCAGTAGTATATCACCTGTGCAAAAATAGAATAAACAAATATCAGTGAAAACTGTAAACGTCTATAACACAATACGTTTTGTCGATTTTGTTGTCATCCAACTATGAAATGTCTTTGAGCAGTTTGTGACAAAAATATTTTATAGAAAGTGGATACTTCAGATTCTACGTAGCTAAAAAGACTAAATATAAAGCTGTAGCCCTAAGCATAGTTTTTTAAAGGGGAACTACGTCAAATCTAACCATAATTCCGAGACTTGTTTTAGCTTTGCTGTTTGTGTCTTGATTCACCTGGACTAACTTTTATGAAGTTTTAAGACTTTTTCTGAGGGCTAAAAAATGTACGCTAACTTCATTTCTATTATACACGAAGACCTCAGAAGAGGGGGGAATTTTTGGAATGATTGCTGCCTGGCAAAATTTTTCTCTATCAGTCATACCTCTTTCTGATTGGAGATTTTTCCTGGTCACCTTTAAAGTCTTATTGCCTTGCAAATTCTTTTCTTCCATCTTATCGAATACAATTTCGCACTTTTCACCATCTAACATAAACATAACAGAACTTTCTTTTTTGCTAAACGAATCTTCGATGATGGCGTTCGTCTTTTTATCGTAATCTTCCTCTTCGCCATCAGAATTTTGAAAGCACCATTGCACTGATTGAGACAATATCTCGGCATAGTTGGAGCGCAAAACTTCCTTTTCTTTTTCTTTTTCTTCATCGGTTATCTTATGGAAATATTTGTAGATATCGGCAACTACTTTTGCAATATCATCAGCATGTCCAACCAAGATAATGCGATTACAATTTTCTATCTTTGCATTGACATCTTTCATTTCACAAATAAAATCTATCTTCTCGAGCTGCTCTGGAGAAAGTTTATCGATTATGTCATGTTCAAGCTTTTCTTTCTTTTTCTGTTTCTCCATGTAGCCTTCGATTTCTTTCTTTGCATCCTTGATCCCATTTCTAGTAATGCCATAAATGATCAGGTAGATTTTCTTGATGATTTCCGGTTTTCTTTCTTCGACACTCAAAACTGGGTGCTCTGTGGAAGATTTCCAGAAATAATTCACAAATTTTTTAAGCATACCAGGTTCTTCTTCTTGTTCAATACTTTTTGCAACTGTTTTAAACGCTAAAAACAAATCTTCATCTTGCAATAAAATACGTACGTTTGCGAGTGTGTCTGAGTTTGAATCAAGAAAACGAATGACGGTGTACAAAATGGCTTTGGCAGATTTTTCGGGATCTTGTTTTAAATTGCCCGTCCCAAATGCAGGAAGAGAGACGCTTTCGAGACCTTGCGCATCAACCGCATTAAGGCATCCCTCGATGCTTTTTTCTATATCTTTGAAGTTTGGAGTGTTCGTAGTTATCATATGAGCGATAAATTTTGCCTCCAGACTACCTGCACACGTGAAGACGGTGTCACCAATCGATGGCTTTTGCGATCTAAGTTTGCTTTTACACTCTTGTTGTATTTGTTGTCCGCCAGCTTTCAAAATGGCCGTGCCCACACTACTCCCCATAAAAAGATCGGGATTGCTGAGATGCGCAATCACGTTCGTGGTCTCTTTTGTTATGTCCCCTTGAACGATTTCAATCGTTTTGTCATCTCCAACTTGAATGAAAAGATTACTGCCCACTTCCCCACCTGGCTTTCTACGAGATTTCCTTCGTGGTATGTCTGGTACTTTATGGACGGGGGGGTTGCCACCAGCATCAAACTCCACTTGCTTCTTCAATTCATCTTTGAAAGCTTGGATGGATTTCACATCTTGATTGTAGACAACAAAACTTACTTCTTTAATGTTGCATTTACTGACCGTTTTCTCAAACGCTTTAGTTTCTTCAAAGAAAATTTTAGCGGCGACTTCATGTGGAAAGCCCAAAATTCCTGTTCCAATGGCGGGAAAAGCGATAGATTTTTTGCCAAGAGTGTGAGTTCTTTGCAAGCAGTTCTTGATTATGTCTTTCAGTACTTGTAATGCAAAATATTTTTATTTCACGTCCATTTGTAAATATTTTAATTGTGTACATGTGTACATAAGAGGCATTTACCACCGAAATTTAGATACACAAAGTTTTGCAGCATGCAACAAGTATACAAAGCCCTTCACCCTCCTGAATATTCTTATACGGATAAAATTGCTAGTAGTGGTCGGACACTCTGAAAACTTTAATTTTTGTTTGCTATATATAAAATCATACAAGTACTTTAATGCAAATGCTATAATTTGATTGGTCACTTTATTTCATTAGATTGCGAGTAGTAGAACAACTTATAGCGAGTAGCGACCGTCTTGCGTTTTGCTCTTGTTCATTTTTCTGACGATAAACCTCGATTGCTTACTTCAGAAGGCAATTCTAGAGAAGACGTAAGTTTCCACAAAATACCACGACGACTGAGATATTTAAATGCAAAAAAAAACGAAAATTCATTCAAAATGACAAAAATGCATTTACCAATCAAGTCGTTCGATTTTTCAAAACGGTGTCAACAACAACAAATGCATAAAAGAACAAATTAACGGAAAACTATACTGGCTACCTTTTCTTCATAAACACTAGTATTATTCTACTAAAACAATTAGATTACTCGCTCTCGACTTCCATAATGCAATGGATGATTCGGGCTTTGCCTGTCAACTATCAACTCAGAAATCTTGAGCTCGTAATTTAATTGTTAATTAGCTATAAAACATTCATTCATGATGGAAAATTCAATTATATTCAACCGATTTAACAAGTAAAATTGACATTGAATTTACACTTCTCAAGCACATCAATTGTAATGCAAACGATTCGATGGATTTAAGTTTCTCAACAATAGTTTCTTAATTAATTTGCAGTATGTTATTAATTACTTTATTAAAATACTCTAATAATTAAATATATCAATGATACGCAAAATTTTACAAGACTGAATTACCTGTTCTCCTTGCCCACTGTTGTACTGAACACAAACGACGTGAAATACGAGGTCACAAAGAAGATTTCCGCCCAGAGTTTCAGCCACCTCTCCAACTTTTACACCACCTTTCTTATCACATTCAGCTTGGAGTTGTGGTCCAGCCTCGTTACTCAATGCTTTACCACACGGGTTTGAATCAAGTTTTAAAGTTTCGCTGGTTGTGTTGACAAGAACATCCGCCTACATGAAAATGCAGATGGACACATCAGATCGTAAGCCATTACGATTTGTTCAAAAAGAAATAATGAAGTTGAAGATGAAAGTTGTACAAAACAAGTCACACGGACATAGTTTTATAGTTAGAACCAAGCCCAGATCCCGTGATAGAGATTCTAACATCTAAACGTTGGTGTTAATAGAAAGTTTTGCATCCATACAATTTATCGGGCTCTATGAGTAAGCTTACAATTGGTCAACTAAGTGTTGCAAACATAAAGAAACGAGTATCTAATTGTTATACACGAAAGAAAGAAAAAACACTGAAAAAAAGGCGTAATCACATGTATGCATGCAGATATAGATCATCCAGGTCAGTCTAGCCCTGAAAAAGACTGTTGCATTAGTATTTACTGATGTTTGAACAAAGCGGTAGTCCTCTTCAGAGTCAAACTGAGAAGGACTGTTAATGTTGATGTTAACTGACGTTTCGACAACTTTAGGGGTAGTCATCTTGAGAGTCATGTGATGAGTAAACTTCAGGTTATTGCCGTATTTGTTGTGTGCTTCATACATCATAATACTGCAAACCCGTATATTATCCTAACTTGAAGATAACTAACGCTAAGGATGTCTAAACGTCAGTCAACATCATTAGTTTTTCTCAAGACTGCTCTAACCTGGATGATCTACATCTGCAAACATGTGTATGCATGGTAATAGGTTTAAATCATTCAATTCAAAGAGAGCCAGTTATGATAAATGCCAAAACCACAAACATCTTCTCTTTGAAATTCAAGCATTTCTTTACCTGAAAAGTGGACAAATCTCCAACAACAACAGAAATCTTTAAATTCTTTTTGGTGACAATACAATCAGTCGGAATTTTTCTGGCAGGTACCGGCTCGTCAGCCATAAAACTTTTATTATCAATTTTGTTTCTTTTTGTCTGCGTCCGCACGCACACTTTTTTACGCGAGCCGTTGAAGAAAGAGCTCTTTTTCTCGTTGTCAAAGAAGTTCACTTTATTGGCAAACTTTTCCCGAAATTTCTTCAAAAAGGCATTCGTGCTTTCTTCGTCGTTGTTGATGAAGCAAATCTCACTCAACGAGGTCTCCTCATTTTCCGAAAGAAATTCCTCAACTGCTTCTATCATGACTGTAGCACAAACGTCTTTCGGAATGCCGAAGATGCCACTGCCGAGAGCTGGAAAAGCAACAGATTTGTATGCACTAGCTTCTCCCAACACGTTTTTGCATGTCTCGTGCAAGATTCTCCGTTTCCTTTTTGCCTGGGCGCTGTCCCAGCGAGGAGCCACGGCGTGAACGAGCCTTTTACACGGCAAGTGACCTGGCTTACCTTTGAAACATTCACCATCGAATAGCTTTCCCCACGATTTTACATGCTCGTCACATTCGACCTGAATCTCATTTCCTCCGACGTCAAGAATGGATTTCGCGAGACCACCGACATGCTTCAAGCTTTCGTTGGCAGCATTCACGATAACCTCACAACGATAACTAGTAATGTCGTCTGTTATGACTTTCAAACACACATTTCCATCTTTAATTTTGTAAGAACAAAGCAGCTTTGACATTGGTCCTTCATTTGTGATTTTACGGGCCTCCGTATTTGCGCTATCATCTTCGTCATTAGAGACACGAATTAGGCATGCTCGTTTTGCTTCAATCCCTTGAATAAAGGTTTTTCCTTCATCGGACAAAAAGTATTCCTGCATCCGGGGCTTCTCAATGCAAATGTCCTCTTTTATGACTTTGGATATTAGGTTTTTCAACTCTTTTCAGCTCTCATAACGCCTTCTTTTGCACCCTGAACGTCTATCGTAGATCCCTCGTTGTTTACTGCAATGGTAACAGAGAATTTGCCACAATTTCTCTCAATTTCTTCAAACTTTTTGTCGTGAAACTTTGATAAATATTCCAAATAACCTTCCCCCAATTCAATACTTTGCTGCAAAATTGAATTATTTTGCATAAATTCCTCGATCGAGTCATGCACCTCTTCGACAACTTTCTTCTCGCCTACCAATGAAATCACGTATGGATTAGACTTGTCGAGATACAATTTCACAGCTGTCTCCGTCACCAAACTTTCGGAAAACTTCTTCCATTTGTTACTTTTTAGAACATCGACGCTGTCTTCCTCGACTTCAAACTGTTTTTCAAACATTATTTCATCCATGAAAGAAATCACATCTTCCACGCGACTGACATCATCACAAAGAATGTTGACTTGATTTTTCCTCGTTTGTCTAAGATATACCATCGCGTGCAATTTTTTATCTTTCAAGTCATCGTTGAAGACGTTAAGTCCATCAGACTTCAGGAAAAATATCGTGCAGTGCTTACATCGACTGTTTCTTCATTCATCCGGACGCATTGTGCAAGAATTTCTTTTTCGGCATTTGAAACATTTTCCGCATCTCCTTGTACGATAAGAATTTCTTTTGGTCGTCAATGGTTACACCGACATCGTGAGTATTGCTTAACTCTACATCGATTCCTTTAAGAAAAGAAATTTTGCCTTTTCCTTGGCAATTCCTTTCATTTCTACCTTGACTATTTTTAAATCCTTTTCCATTTTAGATGTTTCGTCCTGAAATTTCTCGCAAATTTTCTCAATTTCACTAGCACGTGCGACAAGTTTTACGAAAGACGCATCACGATCCAACCTAGCTGTGACGTTGTTGTCTTGGAGTTTCATGACGAGATTTTTTAGCTCGGTCTCGAACGCGACAAAAATCTGATCGAATATCTTTATGCGTTGCACGACATAGTCATTTAAGAATGACTCGACTCTTTTCGCAAGGTCCTCGGGCAACAGAAGATTTTCGCCGCCGCTTTCTTCCAATTTTTAAACAATTCTTTGCCAAATGCATCAGAAAATTCTTGCTTGTGGAACAAGATGACATGTTGAACTACGTCAATGCAAGACTCCACCTTTACAATGCTAGTTTCTTCTATTTTCTCAAAAAATTGATAATGCTGACGTAATGTCAACAAACAATCATCCAAGCGATGTGTCTTTGAAATCAAATTTTCTAGAACTAAGAAGAGAACGTTAGAGTTAAACACAAAAAAATACAAATAATGGACGAGAAAAAATGCACTCAATTTTGTGTAACTCAAAATAGACATTGAATTTAGAAGCCCATGTTTGATGGTCTCATTTAGAAATTAAATTAAATGGTTTGAACCCGGGAGTATCGTTATATGTTTGTAAATGATGATCGTCCAGGTTAATAAAATCCTGAGAAGGACTGTTTTTGTTGTTGTTGACTGACGTTTCGACAACCTTAGCGGTAATCATCTTCAGAGTCAAATGAGGAGAAAAAGGTCAGGTTAGCCGTATTTGTTATCTGGTTCTTACGTCATTGTATTGTGTGTACAGGAAATGTGTATTGTCATTGTGGATTAGTGTGAAGTGAAATATTTTATTTTTAGTTGTGATGTGTGATTTAGGTGTGATGTTTTTAGTTGTAATGTGTTGGTGTCAATTGTGTTTTGTCATTGTGAATTAATGTGAAGTGTAGTGTTTTTAGTTGATCGTTTGTTTGTATTGTGAATAAGTCGTTTGTAAGGTGCCAGTAATTGCTGTGATCTGTTCAGGGGGGTTTGTTCCAAGTTGGTATACCAACTTTCTAATGTAACGTAAGAACCAGATAACAAATACGGCTAACCTGACGTTTACTCCTCATTTGACTCTGAAGATGACTACCGCTAAGGTTCTCGAAACGTCAGTCAACAACAACAAAAACAGTCCTTCTCAGGATTTTATTAACCTGGACGATCATCATTTACAAACATATCATTTAGAAATTCTTACATAAAGTATCGTCCGCAATGACAAAGCATCGTTTTTAATGGGACTAATTTACTCATCAATTACCATTAAATTTTTTGTTCTCACAACTTTAAACCTGCAACACAGGAGAGCTATCAGCTATGAAAAAAATTACTTGTGCCAGTAATCACAGCGGATAGATTGCTGTGCAATTGGATTTTGCTAAGTTTTAGGGCTCATGCAAATTTTTTATCGCATTATCAAGTATATTTGACATTTTTGGCCACGCGGGTAAAAAACTCACAGTTTGCGCTGTATGTGAGGTAGAAGCACACATACAACAAATTAAAGAACCAATAGCGACGGATTCTTTTGTCATGTGACCAAACAGCAAAATCGGGCGTGGGAATATTTTTTTCGTACGGACCTCCCAACTGGTAAATAAAATTTTTATATATAATGTTTTCATATTAATCTGTATACACTCTCTTAAGCTCTCCAGCGTTCTTTCATTTCTGAAGCTTGTTACGCGAAGCTCATACGGAGGTGGCGCTAAATGAGAGGCGGTGCTCTTAAGTATTTATGGATACATTTGACAAGAATATATGCAAGTAATATGTAAGCACATTACAACAGACATAGAGATGAGAGCATTGTGTTTAATGGTCCAGTGATGACTCGGAAACTTACCATCTGGATCACAAAACGAAACAACAGCGATTCTTTTGTGTTTCTGATGTATTATGTCACCATAGATCTTCCCGCCACCGTTACTCTGCCTCTCAAAATACATTTCAATCGTGTCTTTTGTCGTGTTTGAGGAAAGGCCACTCACCAAAACGCTGTTACAAACAGGTGGAAAGGAAATTTTCAAAACTGCTCCGTCTAATGTCTTTTGAGTTTTCAGCACCGTGTCTTTGTCTGTGAAAGATAGAAAACTTCCTTTCAGTTTTCGCTGGAAATCGAATTCTGATTATGAATATTATTGTTCAACATAAGGCTTTATGAAAGGCATGAAAATAAACCAAAAAGTAGATTGCTGAAAGAACAGATTTTATTGTGACGTTTTGTCTTTACTCAAGATATTTTCAGACAGTAATGAATACCATTGCATGCTTATAGGATTATAGGATGTTATAAAAATTAATCATATATATTATAAAGTAATTGATTTGAGTGAGCCTGGTAGTATCGTTACATGTTTGTAGATTTAGATCGCCCAGATAGTTGATGTTGATGTTGACTGAATTTTCGACAACCTCAGCTGTCTTCATCTTCAGAGTCAAATGACGATTAAACGTTAGGTTTGGCGTATTTGTCTGGTTCATACGTCATCGTATTGTGTGTAGGTGTGTAAGTAACGGTTGACATAAATTACGATAATATAAGAAGTAAAATATACGCAGTAATGGATTTCGTTAAAGTCAATTACGAAAAGACAAAAGTCGACGAAGAAGAATAAGAATAATACTTCTACGCAATTTCCCTCTCCTCCCAAATCTCTCATCCCTCCCTGATATTCATACCAAATTTGGCAACGTACAACATATTTCATGTTTTGGAGTACCACCGTATGCATGTGCACTTACAAGCACTCGAGCAGCCATTGTCTCTACCCATAATTTCCTCACCCATAGTACCCTCATTCCTAACTCCAAAATGTGGGGAAAGTGGCCGCATATTTTATTTCACGCTTCTTCACGTTTATCCATTGACATAGTTGGGAATGTAAGCTAAAACGTCGAGTCAGCCTTTCTCACCTAAATCTTTGTCAAATACAACAATAGCTTTGCCAGTATTACCCATCCAAACGTCCATCACGGATGCTTCAGTAAATGCTTCCATAAAAAATGTCAATCCATCCTTGGTCGTTTTTGCATCGATGTTTTCCAGGAAAAGTTTTCTTCTGTCTTTTGGAAGATATAACTCTGGTATTTCAGCTTTAAGTTGTAATAAGTACCCAGAAATTTCCACTTTGTTTTGAAGTAAAACTCTTTCTGCAACTGAAAAAATAAACTTAGCTACGTAATAAGTCTGGAATACTAAAAAACTCAATCAAACATTTGGGACTGATTAAAAGCGAGCTGTTCCAAAGCTGAACACAGTTGATTAAATAAAATATCAGTGCGTTGAGGTTTTTAATTGCATAGGCTATCAAACATGTCTATTGTGAAATGAATTGCTTCGTGTAATTAGGAAAAGGATGACTAGTAAAAGGATGACTACTACTAGACTAAATCTTTCATCAACTGATTTTAACCACCCAAAATTGTATAATTGCATGCACAAAAATTACAAAATAACTGACGCTAAGGTGGTATAATTAATAACCTAATGAGTTGAACTCTTTACAAATTCGGCATAAAGTTAAAAAGTACTTCTTAAAAATCAGAAACAATTTTTGGCAGGTTGATTTTATAAAATCAAATTCATTCGCTGAACTATGAACTTTGAAACAAATCCGAAAATGTTTCAATTAAGCGTTTGCAAGAGCACTTTATATAATAAACACAATGAAACGCAATTTGTCAGCGCAAAGCACATCTGAGCTCAACCAATCACATCAATCTAAACAATCAATCGGTTAAAAAGAATTTGCAAATCAATCATGAATACATTTTAGAGGAAAAATTAAAATGTTTGTCTTTTTTCGTATTATTGTTATTTGATAAAAGAAATAAAAGATATTTTTCGTGTTTGCACTGGCTTATGCAAACCTCGGAGACGTTTGTGAGAACTCTCGAGGATGTGCAACCCTCGACCTTCGGTTTCGGCCTTGCACTGATCTGCTCTCAAGTTCTCCCAAAGGTCTCCTCGGTTTGCATAAGCATTGAGCTCTATAATAACTGGAGCGGCAATCTCAAGCGCGGCCTTAGATATCTGATGACGCCAAAAAATGGCGGATTTCGTCCTTTGCCGAAATTGACCACTTTTCCGAAAATTTACCACTCCCTCCTGAAGAAAGAGTGAGGAAAATGTATGTGTGTATTTGGGACTTGGCGAGCAATTTAATGAAAATCAATGTAAAAACCTTAAATTCATAACAGCGAGTCAACTGTGAATGTCAGTTATCTGCTCCTACAAGGATGCATTTATAACTATCGACGAAAGACCTATGTGTCGGCTACACATGTATGAATGCAGATGTGCGTCGTTTTCTTACCAGCGTCAAACTTGTTTGATCGATTAAACTCTTTAGTCTATACATAAAAGTATATCATAGTTCATCTCCACGGTTCACGAGAGAGAAGTTAGCTTATTTATTATCATTGCTATTTTGCTTCTGTTCATGCAATGGGTGATGGCTTTTTTCGCCACAATTGTAGGATTTTTACTTGTTTCTTTAAAAAAGTAAATATTAAATCTCTGGATATTTACGGATTTTCTGTAATTGAGTTTCATATTAAATTTAAAAAAGACTCAAGTCTGCATAGGTTTGGTAAATGAAAACAAACAATATTGTATAGAAATTACTTTAAGTAACCTTTTTGTGATGTACTGAAGTGCAACTGCATCAAATACTTGTAAAGTTGTAGCACATGTATTGATATATGAATTGGGCAAAATGCAAATAATCATCAAAACACTTATGCTTCCAATGGTGTTTAAAATTCAATTGTGGTTTTAATACTTCTACCCTTCTTTTTCACTTTGTTTTGTTTTTCCTATATTTGCATTATAAGTGCACAATTTGAATGATTAACACAGGTTTCACCTCAAGAAAACATGAGTATATTTGGCGTTCAAGTCAGTCTTAAAAAATACGATCTTCAATATGTATTTTATGGCTTTTCAAGTGCATGTATTATTGCTTTTCAATCGTTGACGGACTAACAAAACAAACAACTACCTCACCTGTGAAAAGCGATATGTTCCTTTTTGTGGAAACTACGACATCCAACAATTGAACGATTGAAGTGTTGGCATTATAAATGAAATGCCAAAAAAGATATCGTCACAGAATATGAAACTAACGATATCCATATTTTGTGATATCGTGTTTGTTTTTGAAAAATTCTTTATAATTTACTATAGACACCAGGGGGAGGTCGAGAACATTATTTTTCTGCAAAGCGATCATCTCAGCGGAAATACGTCCGTTGGCCGCCATGCTTTGGCGACCTCGCCCCAGTACAGTTAGCAGCTCCAGTTATTATAGAACTTAATGTGCATAAGCCAGAGCCCTCTGAATTATTTGTAAGAGTTAGGACAAACGGTCTGGGGCGAGCGCGGAGCCGCCATTTTGGTTCCGACTTGCAAAGTGAAACTATAATAATAATATTAGAAACTGGGTTTATATGCAAAAGGGAAAGCAATTTGGGCTTATTCCATGGTAATATCTAATATATCAGGAATAATAGCAAGCTCTTAGCGTTATCAGTGTTATCAAATATTTGGACAAGACTTTTGTTCCTCCCATAGTAATCATGTAATTTTGGTCTTTGTGTTCAATATTTTTGACAATTTAATGGTAGTGAGTTGTGCATCCCCTCCAATTTGATCCAAGCATGACAGTTTTTATTCTGACAGATCACACAATTTTCTTGCTCAGGAAAAATGACAAACTTTTTTAGTTGTTGAAAAATGCAATGATTTGTCCAAGATGAATTTGGCCTTATTTGGTTTTATTTCTTTGTACGAAGAAGTTGATTTTGTGTTTTTCGTGTGATAGTGTGATTATAATTAAAGTTTAATTCTAGTGTAGTTGTTATATGATTCTGCTAAACATTTTGGTGAAACATTCCTTTAAAATGAATATACTATTTCTCTTACATGAAACATTTCTGTTGTTGAACAACGGTCTCTTTGCTATAAATGTTACTGCTTGTGGAGTCTTTGATATAGCATTGTTTTCATTTTCTTTTTCTCCCATCATTTGCTTTACACAGACAAAATAAGAATGGCGCGTTTCTTATTTGAAAAATGTTCTGGATTTTTATGCATTTATATCAAGAAAATTGCTTTTTAAGAACTATTTTTGAGAAGATCTTTCACTTTTCTTTATGACACTGAGCTATATGTATATTTGCAGTATGAGTATTTTCATGGCATGAACAATGCTTCTAAAGGCGGATCTCCACTAGACAATATTATGACATTGTCTTAAAGATTCCCTGCGCCACATGCGCAGTACGAAATAAACATCGTCAACTAAATTGTCAAGCGCTCGACGAAAAGTAGAAACGGTTTCAACTTGACAATCGTCGTAAATTTAACCAATGAAATTTCATCTTGTGAAACTAATTACCATTTCCCTGAAGTCATAATGGCTGCCATCAGTGGAGAAACGAATTCCAACTGAACGGTACAAATCCTGTTTAAAATATACCGTCAGAGATTCAAATACTTGCATCTCCGAGGAATATCTCAATGGTGCAACATTTTGTTGATCACTATGTGATACAAGAAGTTGGAGAGCTCGATAAGGAAATGTTTTTGCAAGCTCTCCGAGACTAAGTTGCTTGTGGATACAAGCAATATAAACTACAAAAATAGGACCATGAAACTTAATGCATGGAAATCTTTGTCTCGAATGTTTCAGTGAGAAGGTAAGTGTTCTAAATTAATGGAGGACTTCAAGAAACTTGAGAATTTCAATTATCTGTTGTTTAGTTATTATGCTGTAACATGTTAAACATGCTAAAGAAGACAGGAAAACTTATCGACGTTTCTGCGTAAGGGTGTTCGTCTGACCATTTTGTTTGACTGTGCTCCTTGACTATATATGTTATTTCGTATTTTATGTCAACACTGACAAAATTTGTTTCTTGCCCTTTTTTCAGTTCCATACCTTCAGAAAATTTTTAAGAACCTTAAAGATTCTCTGAAAAAATGCCTTGATAAGGCAGCTACTTCGACACTTCCAACATGCAAATAATTTGAGGTTATGAGATTTCTTTATGAGAAAACAAGCAATCTGGAAACCTACAGCAACGTGGAACTTGAAACGTGGAACGTCTGACTCTGCTTAGTCTGTAATTGAAAATTAGTTTCTTCTCAGACAGGTTTGAAAAAATATAGGGCTTCATTATGTGGTGTTTTAGGCCAAATGCATCATCCCCTACAAATGCATGAAGCAGTACTTTTGTTAAATGGCTAATCTTGCCATCTTGGCATGTTGAGAAGCTTGTTTTCAATAGCATAGCCAACATTGCTTTTGGCATATACGCTGCCATCACTTTGCCTCCCACTATCACCAATATCAACCAGTTTGTGCATCACGAACTCCCAGCAAAACAATGCTATGAGTCTTTTTTTAATTAAAAAAACTTGATGCCTGTCCAGCAGGAGCAAACATCTGCACATGCTTTCCATCAATTGCTCCCAGCATATTAGGGAAATTCCATCAATCTTCAAAATCTTTTGATACTTTTTCCCAATCACTTTTAGTGCAAGGTGTTTTCATGAACCCTATTTCTTTAGTTTGTTCCAAAGTGCGTTTCACGTTTCGTATAGAATTCGACCAACAGTCGTTGAACTCATTCTATAATGGGCAGCGATAGTTGTATGAGCATCCCCAGTAGCCAAATATCGCAGAGTGACTAAAAGTCTTTGGTCTGCGCTTATTGGTTCTCGCATTTTCGTCTCTTTCTTTCTTATCATCGAGGCAATATACTCCAACAAGGTCTCAAAAGTGTCAGGTAACATCTTGAAATATCTGAAAAACATTTCATGATCGTATAATCGCTAGTCTTTAACCAGCATATTATACTCTCCTTTCTCATTTCTTTCCTCGTACAGTTTACGCATCCAAAATCTTGGTCGTTTTCGCTTTGTTTTCATGGATCTTACTCTACATGCATGCAGTAAAATCAAATGCCTTCGAAGAAGTAAATAATGCATTAAGTTTGATTCACATCCGCCATTTTCTCAATTTTAAATTGCAATTTGCAATCGTCTTTGACGATTTTGTTGACGATTTTTATTTGGTACTGCGCATGTGGCGCAGCGAATTTTTAAGATCGTCAAAAAAATCGTCTAGTGGAGATCCGCCTTAAAAAACACATTTTCTCCTTGGCAAATTGCTCAATTTTTACGAAACTTTATAGGCTTGCGTATTTAACATGGAATCACAATATTTAGGTGGTTTGAACGTTCGGGTATGCAAAAACTCAGAAAAAGCAACAAAAATCGCGCGGACTTTTCGTAATTTTTGACTTTGCTTCAAAATTTCTCAGCAATGCCATGACTTTTGGCCGATTTTTTTTGACAGTCTATAATTTTGACTAATATTCTTCAAAGTCGATAGTATTTTGAAAAACTAACGCAAAGTTCAATTTTGAGATTTTACAAATATAAAAATGCTATTTTTTGAATTTTTTTTTACAAAAGGACTGGCGCGACCTGCAAAAATGAAAAAAAGGCTTCATTCACGAAGGCCAACTCTTCGCAAAAGGTTATTTTTTACAGCTGAAATTTTACTACAGTGAGTTCGCTGTAACTTACAACTTGTAACGAGGAAAAGCCAACTGATAATTACACTGTATGCTAAAAAGACAATACAATAAGAAAATATGACGAGAAAATATTCAAGCAAAAATTTTTCTTTCATCGGAAGGTAAATTTTCAAACGGTGTCAGACAGTGTTTGTTCTTTTTTGTCATTTCAGTAGATTTAAAGATCTGTTTTTCCGAAGAAAAAAGAAACTTGAATATCCAGTTTGATAAAAAGTGTTAAGTATAACTTGCATTTTTACTTTTTACAGAGCGAAAATTTTTGTCATTTTCATCGATTTTGATAGTGCTTCAAATACTAAATGGTTGTCGTCTCGATATCAATAATTTAATATCCTTAAAAACTGTAGTTTAAGAGCAAATTGACTGTGTATGACAAAAATATATAGTAGCTATAAGATGTTTTCATTCTATATGTAAATTTTTTCGAATGAAAATTCATACCAACAATTCCTTTAAATTTATTTGAAAAACGTAATAATACTTTTGCACTGAGGATGACGTAGAATTGAAATAAATATAGCTAAACGATTTTCTTCGTGAAGATAAAACTGACTAGTAAAATGAGATCAACTGAGGTCAAATTAAAGTCCATGATCCGAAAAAATACAAATTGTTTATGAACACGCAAGAAACACGAGTGATGACGAATGATGACGACAAATATTTTTTTGGCTTCAGTTATCATTCGAGTTATTTAAATATTGAGTTCACTGGTCTACAGCAGTGTTTGCATTAGCCTGTGCAAAACACATCTGATCTCAACCAATCAGTCAAAGAGAATTGGCAAATCGATCATGAATATATTTTAAAGGAAAAATTAAAAGGTTTGTTTTGAATTTGTCTGTTTCTTTTATGGTTATTTTATAAAAGAAATAAAAGATGTTTCTCGTGTTTGCACTGGCTTATGCAAACCTCGAAAACGTTTGTGAGAACTCTCGAGTAGGTGCAACCTCCGACCCCAAAGTTCTCCTCGGTTTGCATAAGCACTTGCAAAGACAGTAAACATCTTTTATTTCTTAATTTACAAATACCTTCGGCGTTCTTAAACGTAATAAAAGCAGCATCCTCTTTACGCCTGTCAAATTTTTCAATTTCTCCTCCTCCTGATCGCTCTTTGCTTTCAAAGAAATATTTCAACGTGTCATCTGTTATAACAGAGCAGAGCCCACCAACGAAAATGGTTCGTACTTCACCAAGCTGAGCTTTATCAACACTCTGCAAGAAAAAGATTGACTTTACGCATGAAAATTTTTGAAAAAGGCAAACGGCAAATTAAGATGAAATTTAGCATAAATCATAAAAAATAACATTAAAATAAGATTGCCTAACAGTGAATTAGACAACTGCACATTGCACAATCACAAATACAACACTTTATAAACAGTCCCAATGCAATGAGACCGCACGCATTGAAAAGTTTTTCAACAGGTTTCTTTCCTTCCAGAGTGAAGGCAAAATTTCAGAAGTGGCGAAACGCAAATAACGGCGAAGTTCAGGGCACGTGTAAAGCAAAAATTGCGATTTTTTATTAAGAGAAGCATCAATACTTGTCTATGACTCACATAAAGCAGCCTGGTTGATGCAGTTTACTTTTGCAGTCTGTGAAAAAAGCACGTAACTATAGAAAATATGCGCGCGCATGTCACAAAAGGCAATAAGAGACCAAATGCAGTTAGGACTTTCTCGATTATGCCGGTAAAACTGGTATTTAATGTCACGAGAAATTTTCCTATAAAGTCTTATCTGAACTGTATATTTTACCCATATGTGATGCCTACACTTTTACCTTGTTTTCTGCGTTGAAATTTGCCGCTGAGAATCGTTCTCGTTTCTTGGGGACTGGTCGTGCTCGATTTGCAGATACTTCTATTTTGCATCCGTTAATTTCATGCTGTCTTTGAAGGACATTTTGCAGATCTGAAAGAATATAACTTAAAAATATAGGCATAGGCCTTGTCAAAGACTTTACCACTTTTCGCTATATTCAACTATGCAGGAGCCAGTGGCGGATCCAGATTACGTCAAACTAAATTACTGCAGCACATTTTGGCGTATATTTACATTTCTAAACACCCTAGAGGCTAATCCATAGGTGAAATTATATTCTTTAGAAATTAAAAACCAACAGTGTTTTTTTTTCATGTAATTTGAATCCTTACTGGATCCGCCACTGGCCGGAGCCTCACAAGATTGATAATTGTATGTGCGTGTGGGGGTGGGAGAGCAATATTTATGTTTGTGGGGGGGAGCAATCTTCATGTGTGTGTCCGGGGAGCAATATTCATGTGTGTGTTGGTGGGGGGGGGAGGGATATTCATACATTGGTGATTGGGTTCAATGACATGGGAGACGTTTTCATTGTTTTGTATTTAACCAGACCACTTCAATTATTGCTTATTACCTTTTTCTGTGTAATTTTTTAAAAGTGGACCTCATGAATAAGTTGAGGGTGTATGAGTGACCAGTGCACACACCCTGAGCACAGGCCGGTGAAATATTGTTAAACACAATATCGAATCAATCGAGTGCTCAATAAAAGTAAAATCAAATCGAAGTAACACTAAAATAATACTGCAGAGCTATTTTGCTGCGCAATGATTCACGAATTACGTATGAGCGTTCGTCATGATTTGTCTAGATGACAGTGTCGCGATTGTCTGCCCACATACACCATACATGATGCAATGAATTTATATGTGATTAAAAAGATTTTAAATAGTTATATTTTTCCTTAAAAATTAGCTGGTCATCGCAAATCAAATTTTGTCTACGGAACTTAGAAGTGAAATTAAAGTGAAAGTAGCTACTTTAACGAATTAAAGGTAACCCGTTTGAAAATGAAACTTCCCATTTTTCGTTCATTAAGGTGATCAGTCTTCGTACATACTGATCGCTACGCAAAGCAATCAGCCACATTTCCTACCTTCGTTGTGGTCGAAGACAATAACAGCCTTGTTGCCATTAATTAATATGCAAGATTCATCATTCACGTCGCCGCCACCAGACTTCGTTGATTGAAAATATATTAGCAAATCGTCAAGGGTCGTTCCGTCGGGCAAATTTGAAACGTATAATGTAAACTGCGACATGTCAGTACATTATGTTTAGGTAAACCATCGACAAAATGTACAAATTTAGTTCGACAATTTTGCACAGATCGAAAGTTGACAACTCAGCAGGTTGTCTCATTTGGTAATGCCATACAATCCTTTTCCAAAAAACTTTTACCAGGAAACGCCACAGTACTGACGTAGCTAATCGTATGAGTAAGTTTGATTTCCCCGTAAGCAGCACAGCATCATATAAAAATTCCATTTTCCCGGAAGTACTACTCTGGCTGAATCATATGTTCCCCAAAAGCACTATGAAAATACAGTAGACGTGGCTCACAAGAGCCTATACTAGGGCGCGCCAAGATGGACAATATTACCATAATCGAAAATATTTATAACGAAACACATTATCGTATGTCGAAAATAATATACTGGCAACTTTTTCAATATTTGTAAAACGAAACGCAAAAATATAAAAGAAAACAAAAATTCGTTTACCATAATTTATATATACACAACGAAATTTATTTTTCAAGTTATGAAAATTATTTTTATAAAACGAAACTCATTTATATAAAACGAAATTGACATTCATAAAACGACATTTTCTTCGAACAAACGACATTTTTTACCGCGCCCTGCCACTGACATCAAAGAAAAAACGGCGTTTTGACTTTTATCCTCCTCCATAATTTACACTTGGGTTGAACAGTGGAGACGTGTGGTGCATTGAAGTATTTAATAGCTGCTGTAGTCGCTGCTCCTCCGACTGTTGTGGTTGTGGATGAACGACCATTTGCAGAAGGGCACAGAGTGCGTATCGTACTTTCAATATTGCTAGCGTTAGCATCGTTATCTCCTTCAAAAGTTCTTTCACAATTGTTGGAGCAATCACTTTCAGAGAGATGAGTGATTGCTGCAACAAGGTTTGTCAAGTTATGTAAGTTCCTTCGCGAATACATCCTCAAAATTTTGTAGTGGATGGCTCTTTGCAGGCTACAAAATAATGGCCGCAAAAAAGCGTTAAAAAATGTCGTTTGTTCGAAGAAAATGTCGTTTTATGAATGTCAATTTCGTTTTATATAAATGAGTTTCGTTTTATAAAAATAACTTTCATAACATGAAAAATAAATTTCGTTGTGTATATATAAATTATGGTAAACGAATTTTTGTTTTCTTTTATATTTTTGCGTTTCGTTTTACAAATATTGAAAAAGTTGCCAGTATATTATTTTCAACATACGATAATGTGTTTCGTTGTAAATATTTTCGATTTTGGTAATATTGTCCATCTTGGCGCGCCATACTATACGTTGGAAAATAAAGGAAAACAAGTATATATATTTTTTGGGGGTTCTTGCCAAAGTAGTTTGTAACAAATAGTGCGATTCATCTCCTACTGGCTAGACGGTGAATCCGAAACTTTAAAATTTGGATTTACCGAAGCAAAGATGGAATTGTATACAGGTCTTGTAGACGACCATTTTAGAAATTTTTAAAGACTATATCTGTTTTTGAATAGCATTATTGTAAAATAAATTTTAAATGATGAGCCTAAATATTTAAAACATTCAAGTATTGTTCACTTCATTTTTGAAAAACTTAGCCCTTTGAAAATGGAGGCTCTGAAATTCAAAATTTCTCAGCGGAGAATGCCTCAGACCCCTCAGGTACGGAGCGCCTCCGAAGTTTTATGACTGATGTTTGAAAAATCCTAGATCCGCCCCTGGTCCGAGGCATTCTCTCCTCAGAAATTTTGAATTTCAGAGCCTTGGAAATGCCATTTTCAGCGTTTTAGAGCAATACAAAATGTATTTTGTGGGCATCATTTTTGCGTAAAAACAACACATTTTGCTTACGTTCTTTTCAAAAAAAGAAACGAATTGAAGTGAACAATACTTGAATGTTTTGCCAAATATTTAGGCTCATTATCATGCGAAATATATGGCTCATTAGCATGTCTAGGAACATTAAATTTATTTTACAATAATGCTATTCCAAAAAAGATATTGTCTTTAAAATTTTCTACCAAGTTGTCTGGCATATATCCCCCGTAGAGACCCCCATTCAAACCTCTATGTAATGAGTTAAGTTAGAAATTTGGTACTACAAGGGACAGTTCATAGATGTAGAAAAGCTCAGACTTTAAACCATGCAAGTTTATTGTAACCCTTTACCCATCTCCACATACAGTGGCAGCTAATTCACTTTTTAAGAAAAAACTCAAAATTTTTTTCTGCCAAAGATTAGGCAAAAATTATTAGAGTGAAAATTTGCAATTAAAGACAGCTTAATACCATTAATGTTTATTAGGCATTTCACTAGACTATCATCTTCTGTAAGTATATGCAAGGTGTGCTATATAGCAATCACTAGTAGCATGGTATTTGCCAATACAAACAGAATGTTTGCTGTTTTGCCAAATTTCAAGGTTTATCTGCATACATAGGAAGACATTTTTACTTTATAGAAAATGCTTTTCATACATCAATAGCCGTTTAGAATTTATGGCAAACAATCTAGTATTAACACACCTTGACATCTCTACATGAGGTGCTCAGTTAGAAAAGGGGACACTATGTGACATGGGCCAACATTTCATGTATGTGAAATGCTCAGATTTAATATCATTCCAGTCAAATTGTTAAAATAAAAAGCTTCATGGATCTGACTCAAAATCACAGGTTATAGTAAACAGCTTCTCGTGTAATCAATGTTAGTTTTCTCAAATCTTAAACAATGTATAATATAACTGTCCAATGATTGAATGATCAATGATCATAAACTGAAAAGCCCCAAACATTTGTTTGTGTTAAAGTAAATAATAGTATGGCGCCTTAAATTAAATGAAGATATGATCTTCGCACTTTGCTGGACAATTTAAGCAATCGTCTCAGACCTCTGCAGAGGTCATGGGTTCGAATCCCGTTGAGTCACCTGATTTTTTCAGGTCCTGAGACGATTGCTTAAATTGTCCAGCAAAGTGCGAAGATCATATCTTCATTTAATTTCTAACACCGCACTGCATAAAACATTCATAGTATGGCACTTTATGGCTACAGATTTTTTGTCCATTGAAATATATTTGCAGGAATGTAGGATTTCGCCGCTATATAACGGCCACGATTCCCCAAGCACTAAAGAAATCATAGCTAAAAGTCCTTCGGCAACAACAATATTAGAAGCATCAATCTGCTTACCATACGCAATATTGACATAAATCGCATTACATACTCGCATAAATTGACTATGATATTTTATATTCATGCATACACTTTAGTTGTCCTTTACTTACGATTTTGGATGTAAATTTCTGCGGAGAAAACTCAGAACAATGTTTGCAAAAATTGCTTGCTTTTGAACATCAATCACTGAAATGTCGTTCGCGAGATCGTCTTTGCCAAGCATTTACAATTCATCCATAAATTTTTCACCCTCCTGCAAAAATTCACAGTTTGGGCAGCAGCATTCATGTCAATATATGAATTTGTAAGTGATTTCCATAAATTCCATCTGATCGTAGTTTAGATTCTACCATGCTTTAGAAAATTACTATGGAACGATCAAACATTCAATTCAGACAGTAAGCATGACTATATTAGTTCAGTTGGCTATTAGTCAAAATCGGTCAAACCAATCACAGTAAGACAAAAATTTAAACAAACCAATTACACGATAGCAATTGGACTCCCTTATAGGTCCGGCCACCCCACTTATCAGTCGACATTATTCCAGATCGTCCACTGATCTGGCTGTTGACCAATGGAATGGCTTGAATAAACATTCTTGAACTCCGTTTTCGGTCGAACCAGTCGAGCCATCCCGCTTATCAGTCAGCCAGTTAATATAGTTCTAGATATGTTTTTATCTACTGATCTGTTTACTAAGGTGGTATTTGTATAAGTTTTCATGTATAAAACAGAATTTTGACGATGAAATCCAAACGATTACAGAACGAAAATTTAATGATAAAAAAAATTGTAATCATTAAATTTGATAAATAATTTTTGAACTATAAACATATGTCGCGTGACTGATTTGACATAACCTAGATCTGCCCCTGGGTTAGAGCGGCGGACTAGTATCCGAAGGTGCGAGTTCAAATCTCGTCCAAGTCACATGTTTTTCATGTGCATAAAAAACCGTGTTAGGATTTATATTATGTATAATCTCTTATGATGGCTTTGGAATAAGATTTTGTCTTTAACTTAAGACGTTTTCAGACTAATTGAGATAAATTATATACATGAGGTTTTAAATACAAGCATATATTGCAGGGTGTTAAATTACACATGTGAGGAGAGTAGAAAGTTTAGATGACGGAATGAAATGAGAAGGGCAGTATATTAAATAAGGTGAAAGGGTACTGAGTTGCCTTGGGTGTTAAGAGAGGTTTTAAGTTTGGATATGAGAAGGTTTTCAGGGATCATAAGGTCATAATTGTCGGAGGAGGAAGAGAGAATTGAGAAGTCATTAAAATCTGCAGAGTTAGATGTGTTTCTTATATGGGAAAGGATTGCAGATGTTTGTTAAGATATTCTCTCATATTCTTCCTGTAATTAGTAAATAATTAAGTCAAGTGTAACTAACTAAATGATTATTTTAAGAGATACTTATGTGCAATAATCACAATATTTTTTATAGTTCCTAATAGCTTTCCGTTGATTGTAAATTAACCATATTTAGTAAAGAAACAAATACATCCATACGTATTATCTTGTATTGATAGAAGTATTTTAACCATTGTAAGATAGATCGTAGATGGTGTGTAAATGACGATTGGTTTGACCCACATACGATGCGGAGCAGCATCGACATTTAAATGAGTATGCAACACCAGATCTCAGGAATTGGGGAACCCTATCTTTAAAAGGAAAGAAAGAGAAGAGACGCTTGGAAGAACGAAAAACAAAGCGAACTTTGATATGAGGAAAGGCAGCATTACAGAGTCGAGTGATTTGAATGCGAATCTGAAGACAGTGTAGGCTAGGGAAAGGGAGACAGAAGTACATGATTTTCCTAGGAGCAGCGTGAATAGGATCTTTGGGTTCAAATATATTGTTGAGGAAGCGGTGAACATAATTGTCAAATATGTAAGTGGGAAAGTTGTTTAAGGTGAACAGTTTTCTAACAACTTCTAGTTCAGTATGAAAGTGTTCAGAGCTGGAACAGAGGTTGAAAATTCTGTGAAGTAAAGAGGAGATTAAAAAGCGTTTGTATTGAATGGGAATGAAACTATGGAAATTGATGAAGAGACCAGTGAAAGTGGGCTTAAGATAAACAGAGGTGGAAAACTTGCCGTTTGAGCGAGTTATTTTTTCGTCAAGAAAGGGGAGTGTTCCGTCTTTTTCAAGTTCAGATGTAAAGGAAATGTTAGGACGTTGGTAGTTGAGATAGGTTAGGAAGAGATCGAGGTATGTGATCCAATGATCGGAAGAGTAGAAAGCAATCATAACGTTGGTAAAGAAGGGGTTTGAAAGTGGAGGACAGTTGTGAAGCCATGAAATCTTGTTGAAGGACATAAAGATGTTGGCAAACAGAGGGCCTAGGGGGCTGCCCATAGCCAGACCATCAATATGTTTTTTAAACTTGACCATTAAAGTTGAAATAACAGTTTTGACGGAGTGAGAGAGAAGTTAAGTGAATTGTGAACGGTCAAGGCCTTAAAACGACATGTTATGGGAGAAGAGTCAATAACATGTCCTTTCAAGGCCTTGAACGTTCACAACTCACTCAACTTCATATTGAAAACTAGTTAAATCAATGACACCATTGACATTTTAGGGTGGAGGCTGGTTGAATGTGATTTGAATGGACGAGCTGCAGTTTAAAACCATTGCCAAGAGCACACAATGAACGCAAACAGGTAATGGGCTCGTAATGACAAATTTCGTTCAGTGAAAAAGATTTGCAGTATGTTCTTTATGGGGAAAATCTAAATCGAAAATATGCGAAGATATTAAGCAAACTGAAAAAGCGTGAATATTATAGACATCGACCGAAAGAGAAAATTTTCAGTTCTTGAACTGAATTGTGATGATCTGAATCAATGGTTCGAATAGCCTTTGGTCTTAAACTCGCAGAACTAAAGAAAAAGTAGCTGACTCTGCATTGTTCAAAATCATATACATTTCAATAACTACATATCGTGTTTTGTTGAATAACGATGTGTTCAATATAAATCAGGGGAACAATCGAATTGACCTGACTCAAACTTTTGACCTCCGGTGTAAGTTTTTTTCCAACTTTTTTGTCCATATATCTTATTATTTTGAAGAAAAAAGTTTGCTCAATAATAATGAGAATGTACTATTGATGTTCCTTGAGACGTTCACCAATGTTGGCATATCATCATTAAATAACAATCGTCACAATAACAATCGTCAAAATAACAATTGTCACGCAAAAAATCAGAAAAATTCACCGAACCAAAAAAAAAGATACGGTCAATTCCTTAAAAACTAGACGATAAAATTGTAAAGAAAATGAAACATGGTTGCCATAACAACGCAAACAGTTATCCTATTCAAGCATCTTCAGACTTTACTAGCATTCTTGAATATTCTGCATAGTTCATATTTCCAAATTTTGAGTGTGTTTGATCAAAATAAATATTTTAGTGAAGGCTACATGAAACACCTGAATCTTTGTGAATTGTAGCATAATCTCAAATTATCTAAAAATCTCGAGAAATTATTCCTTTCTGCCATATTTTGTCTTTAGATTATGCAATGTTTCAGTTTTATTCACCCACGGTTTCACCCTAAGATTTTTCAGGTGCTTTGCGGGTAGACTGTGAATTTTTGTTAACATGAATTTTTGAACTTAGCATTAATTTTTAAACTTAGCATGAATTTTTGAGCTTAGTATGAATTTTTGCAATAAAGCAGTTTTGTCCGCTTCGGGGCTTTATATTTATTGACGAATTTTTTTGGTAACACGGCATAATCAAAATGATGTTCACTTGTAAACAATTATCTGCGAAGACAATGTTTTTCAATTATCAATGTACTCTGTTGTATATATACTCAACGTTAAGCTATTTTAACACATTTGGAAATTATAAACATTCCAATGTGATATATTTCTGACACTTTGCTTGTATTGATTGTAAGTTATAATGTTGCGAAATATTGACTAATCAATTTTAATTTTGACTGATGCACTCGCATCAGTTGCATCAGTCTGGACTATTTCTTCGACGATGTGCTTCAGTAATCAATTTATGATACCACCAATGTATTTACCCTGTCAGTGAAAAGGAAAGAATTAAGACTAATATCACTGTACCAATATTATAAGAACATAATTATTACTGTATTTTGTTGGTAATGATTGGTTCATTGATCATGAACTTCGTACCTTCGCACCCAAGCATTTAAGTATGTACACTAGGGTTCTCTGTTTTAATAACTTCCTTTAATTCTTTCTATACATGTTGCAATAACAAAACTTGTTTCAGAATTTAAAAATGTGCTTTATGCTTAATATTCTGCATTAGCCTTCATCGCAGGCTATATAGCTATATAAGAATGTACATATATGTATTGTTTGCTAATCAGCAACTATAACTTGTTTTGTAACGCAAATGGGGATTCGTCGTTGGTCAGTACAAAAGTTGTGACAAATTCCGATGGCACAGCTTATAATTATGCACTTCAATTAAATTCAGCACAAAAATATACGTAATTTATCATTTCTCAAAAGAAGGTAGATATTTCAGGCCTCTTGTTTAATTTGTTACGTAGATATAGTTGCGCGTAGCCAAACTTGTCGTGCTATGTAAATTTCACATCATTAATTATCATTATTCATTTCTTCAGAAATGTATTTTTTTTACGGTAACTGAACAAAGAAATATTTACATAGCACAACCAAACTTATGGGCTGGCTAAGCCACTGGTAGATATATAATGCTTCATCGCTAGTGAATGTGTCAAAAATTGTTTTGACAATTTTTTTGAATGCAAAAGAATTTTCGTCAGCAGGAAACTTCCGCCAACGAAATGATTCACCTTCTTACAACTATTTCAAGTAAATATAGCTACGTACACACAAAATAGTGTCGTGTTTTTGCTATTATTTTGTTTTTCACATAGCTAACAAAGGAGAGCTTATTGGATGTATCAATAAATTAGCGCAAGTGATTGATTCAGTGGAATCAATCTTCTTTTGGCATAAAAACTATACATTAAACATTCATTCAGCACGTTCACTATACTCTAAGTACAACACTTTTTTAGGAAAAGAAAGTTACTTGTGCGGTTTTAGGTGAGGCTAAAAGCTTCTTTTGTCATAAAAAAATTATATATTTAATGTACATGTAAGTGCGTTCTCTACACTGAAGACAACACTTAGTTGGGATATAAAGTTACTTGTTGTGTTTGCTCAACACAATACTCGATCGTTGTATAGATACTACGGTTTTTAAATTGGAAAGGTTTCAGTCAATATTAAAACTATCTGCGTGGCGTTCCTTACAACAATTAAAATGTAGTAATTAATTGTCCACGTCGTCGCTCTATGATGATACTTTGGAACTTTTATCTCTGACCATCAAAACCCCGAAATCTGCACTAAGCAAGTGCGACATAGAAACATACATTTCAAAAATGACGTACATCGCACGTGCAAAACAGAATATGATGATATCAACATTCAAACGAAATTGAGACGTGCTTCAAAACATTTAATTATTTTCTATAGAATGTTTAGAAGTGACGTCTAGACGGCCATGTTTGGGGGAGTTCATCAAAGTGTCGATGCGTAACATAAATTTTTTTATTGTATGGGATCTCCCCCCAACATAGGGACTCATGAAGACACTCCATAGTTTTGGCTTTTGTTTTTGGTTATCCTCCTCCGTTATGTAATGTTCTAAAGGCTTTGTCAATGGTTGAAATCTATAGTGTTTGGAGCAAACATAATCTAAAGCGGAAAACACTCACCGTCAGTAAAATCTCAAATACTTTTCCCTGTTGTCATGCAATTGAGCAACACGTTTTTTGCACGTGTCAGAAAATCGTTTTGCGTTTCTTATTGGCTGATAGCCACGCTGCAATTATTCATGATTTCGAATGATTGCACACATAACCATTTATAAATCCTTGCCGACATGTCACTTGAATAATTTATAACCCTACACTGCGTGCTTGCTGTATGTAGTAAGAACACGACATTGCTTGAAGTTCAAACACTGGTCAAAAAGATGAAGAATTCTTCGATAAATCAAAAGCATGACCAGCATCGATTCGATTCATTCGCACCAATCCGCAATGACAACAAGGTGAAATGGTTGGTTAATGACAAAGACTACATGTCAGCTGTTGCAGATGCAATTGAAGCTGCGCACAAGAAAATACTGATTACTGATTGGCAAATGAATCCATATATATCTTCATGAAAAGACCTAATAATAGCGTCGACAGTCTGATATGGCGACAGGATAAGATGTTGATGAAGAAAGCTGACGAAGATGTTCGAGTGTACATTCTACTTTATTGGGAAAAGCCTGTCCTTGATCTTGGCAATGAACATACTGAGAAAATTCTGAACTAACACCCCAATATAGTTGTTTATTGTCATCCAGACTGGAAAAGTTTCACCTTTCGATGGAGCCATCATGGAAAACTTGTTGTTGTTGACAGACGAATTGCTTTTTTTGGTGGCATTGATCTTTGCTATGGTTGCTGGGATACCTCAGCTCACGAACTGATGGATAGATATCCGATTCATCGATGTGCCCAAGAATATTGTGAAGACGTGGAAGCAGAAAATAGATATTCTCTCGCTGGGTTGGCCAAGATTATAAGAATGAATTTTTCTCGAACGGTAGGAAAATTAATTGAGAAAGTCCCTATGATGATTATGAATATGTTGATAGAAGTCAAATTCCCCGGATGCCATGGCATGATGTTGCGTGTGTGTTCACAGGAGATGCAGTCTCGGATGCAGTAAAGCATTTTAGTCAACGGTATTATGCTTTAAATCCTACTTTGGGGTTGCCTAAGGAACTTGATGTTTCTGAGAGTAAAGTACTTGATGTTTTTATCAGCCCATATACAAAGACTAACATTCAAATCCTTCAATCTGTTGCTAAATGTTTATCGGGTCAACCTCATGAAGCCACCATTTACAACGCATATCTGCATGCAACTAGAAATGCAGAGAAGTACATTTACATTGAAAATCAGTTTTTATCTCATCTCAACCAGGATGGATTGTAAAAGTAAAGAATCAGATTCAGTCGGCATTGGCAGACGACTTCACCAAGCTTACATAGAAACGAAGGACTTTCACGTGATGATAGTATTGCCGTTGAAGTCAGAGTTTCCCGAAGATTGGAAATCAAATCCTCGTTTTAATGGATTAATCAGAATAAGTTATTGGAACTATGCTACTCTTTTTTCTGGCGAGCATTCTTTAACATATCGACTAAAAGGAGAATTCAAAATTCCAGAGAGTGAAGGGAGCAGTTATCTTAGTGTCTATGGATTACGAACCCACGATTTGCTTGGCGAGAAGATGGAAACTGAAATTGTTTATGTGCACAGCAAAGTGATGATCGTCAATGATCGAGTTTCTATTATCGGTTCAGCTGTCATAGTTGAGGATGTAGAAATGGTCTAGGGAAAGATGAATGACAAACCATGGCAAGTTTGAAAGTTTTCGCATAGCTTAAGATGTCACCTTCATAAGGAACATTTGGGGCTTTTAAATAAGGATGAAAATGTTGACAGCTTGAATGTGAAGGATCCTTTGTTGCAATCGTTTATCAAAAGAACATTTGAACTGGCTGATGTTAATATGGAGAGCTACGAAAAAGTGTTCGGTTCAAGAATATTACCAACCAATCATGTAAAAAATTACAAAGATCTTGACAGGTGGAAACAAACGGAAGGTCTTGTTTATACTAATCAAAAGCTAGCTAACGAAGAACTATAAAAGATTTGTGGAAACATTGTTACGTTTCCAAGTCATTTCTTAAAAGATGAGCTTTCTTATACGATTTCGGATGCAACTGGTGTATTGACCATGCCATAGAATGGAGATAAAACCAAGATTGTTAGAATTTAAGTATTACTATATATTTTTGGCAATGATTAGCTTTAAATTGATCATGAACTACGTACCCAAGCATTTTTGTATTTCCTATTATGGTTTTGCATTAGCCTTTAAAACGGAACAAGCGTCTTGCGGCGCAACGAAAGGAAGGATTGCTGAGAGTGTAAACTAGCGGATTGATTGCAATAATTGAACAGTTGGAATGCCTATTTTATAAAATAAAACAGCATTGATGAATTTATGATCGAAAAGAATCATTGCAAAGTACACCAACTCGGGAAGGACTGCAAATGAAACTAGAGCTGTGATCAACACTAACGAGTGTACAAGTCGATTTCTTTTGTTTGTACTAAATTGAACATTCCGAAGGCCCACGTTGTTGAATGGAGTGATCTTCGTGTATCGCAAGTGTAACAAAATCTTCGAGTACGACATAATGGTAATACAGAAGAGTAAGATATAAGCAAAAGGCAAAACGATCCAACCAAGTGTCGTCTTCCACATTTACCAACTTTTTTCGTCTGCTTTTAGAAGCAATAATACCTAAAAACCGTGTGAAGTTATCGTAAAATAGTCAAGAAAAAAATCAACTTGTACGTTTTCTATTTTCTTATTATTTAATTGTGTCATCAAACTAATTGCTGTACTTTACTCCACTTAAATTTATTTTTGAAGCATTTTGATTAGAAACTGATTTATGTTTATCGAAGCACTACAATTAACGGAACCGTGCTTAGCACTAGTCTTTTGCGAGAAACAAACAATACGTATAAACTACATAATGCAGTTGAAAATATATATTTCCAAACAAAAAAAATATATTTGATTCCGAGAGAATTTAGTTTTCTCTCTTTCTATCATAAGAATCGACATGAAAAGAAAGATTTTCAAAGTCAAATGTTAATTCACACAGTTCTCTACTTATACATCTTACCGACCTGACATATGGGACAAAGCAGTTGACGTATTCTCAGTTGATATATCCAATATAAAGTTTTATGCTTTCCCTCCGTTTAGTGTAATAGGACTTTTTTTACAAGAGATTCAAGAACAGACAGCAATGGGAGTATGAATACTTCCAAATTGGCCAACACAGTTGTGGTACTCGAAAACAATGGAGATTTGCATTCCAGACCCAGTCCAATTAAAACCGGAACGGTATCTCCTTAGTCTACCAGAGACACCACACGGAATTCATCTTTTACACAAATCAATAGGCCTTGGTTTGCCTGGTTTGCCTGGTATCCGGCAAAACTAACAAGGATAGGACTACATCAGGACACGATTAATGTAATTTTAGTGTCTTGGAGAAACATACAAGCAAACAATATAGCTCATTTCTTTCCAGGTGGAAAACATTCTGTGATGAACAGCATATTTCTAGTGAAATTGCTGGATTGCTGCAGGGCTTCGCTTTTCTGACTAAGCTACACCGCAAAACCTTGGTTATAGTGCAATCTATCATCTATCTTAGTTCTGGATAACCGCACGTTAGGTAATAGGTCTTCTTAAAGGTATCTTTGAGTTGAAACCGTCATTACCACGTTACACACATGTTTAGGATGTGGGCGTGATCCTTAGATATTTTCAATCCACTGATTACTCTCTCGTCTTGAGTCTCGAAGATTTTACTAAAAAACTAACAACTTTACTCGCCATAATAACAGCACAAAGATGCCAAACCGTAGCAAAACTAGATATTTCGCATTTTCAAGACATGCATGATAGAATAGTTTTCCATATCCGTAACAAGCCAAAAACAACTAGACCAGGTAAACATATGACACTTATAAAAATCCTATTATACCCAGAAGATGAAAAATTGTGCTCAGTTGCACACATTAGAGAGTACATTAACAAAACCAAAGATCTAAGCTATCATCATCAGTTTCGTGTAAGCTATCACAAACTACATGACGCGTCACCAATGCCACGATTAGTTGTTGGGTCAAGACTACTCTAGCTAATGCACGAATTGACACTAGAACATTTTTCATGTTACTCCTTCGTTTCTGACAGATGACAAGAAAGAATTGCAGTCAAACTTCAACTTAAATTTTTAAATTATTAAATAAGTTGAGGCTGAAAGCTTCTTTTGCGATAAAAACTATAAACTTCATTTACATGTGAGTGCGTTCTCTGTACTGAGTACAACATATTGTTACCATATAAAGTTACGTTTGTGTGTTTGCTCAACACAAAACTCGATTTAAGTCAAATTTTAAAAATCTCTACGTGGCGAGCCTTACAGTAATCAAAATTTTGTAATTAATCGTCCACGTTGTCGCTCTTTGCTGATACTTCAGAACTTTTATTCCAGACCATAAAAAGCACTAATATGGGTTAAAAAGTAATTATTACCCCATATTAGAAGTTACTCCAAAAAATGGGTCGTTCTTTGTAACTTTGTTTACCCCTTACTAGTGGGGTAATTTTCGTCCCTGAAATTTACTGTGTACATTCTACTTTACTTGGAAACGAAGCCAACCCTTTATCTTGGCAGTGAACATTATGAGAAAGTTCTGAATAAATACCACAATAAAACAGTTTATTGTCATCCAGAATAGAAAAGTATAACTATACGATGCAGCCCTCATGAAAACTTGTTGTTGTTGACAGACACATTACATTTGTTGGTAGCATTGATCTTTGCTATGGTCGCTGGGATATCTCAGCTCACGAACTGTTGGATAGATATCCGATACATCCTTGTACCCAAGAACATTGTAAAGATATGAAAGAAAGTAACAAATGTTGTCGATGGGTACGTCAAGATAATAAGAATGAAATTTTTTCGAACTGTGGAAAAGTTAATTGGGAAAATCCCTATGATGATTACGAATATGTTGATAGAAGTCAAATTCCCCGGATACCATGGCATGATGTTGCGTGTGCATTTGCCGGAGATGCAGTCTCGGATGCAGTAAATGGCTTACCTATTTGTGCTTCTGATCACCTTTTAACCCTAGTTGTACGATTAGAGTTACGTAATGAAACAGAAATAACCCACTCCCGCCCCCCAAAGCCTCGTATCCCATGAGACTCCGGTGGCTTTTTGCAAGATTCCCGAAAGAGCTCACTTTGTGCTCAGTGGAATGCCTACAATCGTATTTATCCCTCACAAGCGCCTTAAGGAAAACGGCATCCGGCAAACCAAACTCACCTTTTATCTCTTATGTTAAACCTCACAAAGCTGTGACTACAGCCACGGTCGCCCGTTGGATCCGTTGGTTTCTAATGGAATCGGGAGGCTATATGTCGACATTTAAGACACACTCGGTTAGAAGTGCAGCCACCTGGGCAGCAGCCAACGCTTTCGTTCCTGTATAAGAAATTTTGCGTATGGCTGACTGGTCTAATGCGTCTACTATTCAACAATTCTATTATAAACCAGTCATGTCGTCAAACTTCGCACACGCTGTTCTCTCATGAACATATAACTTATACCAGACTAGACTGATGTATGGTAATGAAAAATTTAATATACATATCAAATAAATACTAGTATTTTAATGCTAGCCCCTTCGTTACACTCATTACAGTGTTCAAATCTACCACTAGTATTCTCATATATTTCGACCGGAGTTCATGAAATATAATTCCAATTATACAAGGGCTTTCGCCTCATGATATAATTGGGGTTATATCAGTGAACGAAGGGAGAATAATACTGGTCAGCGGGACAACCTCATTAAGCTTCCATTTATAACCAGAGCCCTTTATAACGCTTATCTAAACGCAATTAAAAATGCAGAGAAGTATATCTACATTCAAAATCATTTTTTATCTTATCTCAAGGACGATTGATAGCAGATGTGAAGAATCGGATTTAAAATGCTTTGGCAAAACGAACTCATTAAGCTTACAAGGAAAAGAAGGACTTTAGCGTGATGATAGTATTGCCATTGAAGCATGAGTTTCCCGAGGATTGGAAATCAAAAGGTGTTTTCAATAATTTATTCACAATAACTAATTTGAACTATGCTACTCTTTTTTCTGGGAAGCAATCTTTAGCGTATCGACTAAAAAAAGAATTCAAAATTCCAGACAGTGAAGTCGACAGTTATCTCAGTGTCTATGGATTACGAACCCACGATTTGCTTGGCGAGAAGATGGAAACTGAAATTGTTTATGTGCACAGCAAAGTGATGATCGTCGATGATCGAGTTTCTATTATCGGTTTAGCTAATACTAATGACCGAAGTATGCTTGGTAAACGAGATTCGAGGTGGCTGTCATAGTTGAGGATGTAGAAATGGTCGAGGGGAAGATGAATGACAAACCATGGCAATTTGGAAAGTTTTTGCATAGCTTAAGATGTCACCTTCATAAGGAACATTTGGGGCTTTTGAATACCGATGAAAAAGTTGACAGCTTGAACGCGAAGAATCTTTGTTGCAATCATTTATCAAAGGAATATCTGAACAGGCTACCGATTTTAGTATGGACAGCTACGAGAAAGTGTTCGGTTCAAGAATGCTACCGACCAATCATGTGAGGAATTATGACGATCTAGACAACTGAGAAAAGCATAAGGGTTTTGTTGATACTAACCCGAAGAAAGC